TTTTGTTGATCAAGTTAAAACTAAAACTGCACTTTTTCTGATGACATGGTCCTTCTATCCATCTTTGTGAATGTGTAGAACTTTGAATGATATACGTTCCATTGGGCCAATTAATTCCTCTTGTACGACTTTTATCTCATTAATTCTTCGGCTGTTGGGACCCTCAGATAATACACATTCTTCAGTGAACTTATAGTGGTTTTTAGTTTATTCATTATTTGTATACCTTGTCCTGTTGTACCTGAACATCAGTTTTTGCTTGCCACCAGGCATCATTGAAGACTGAACGGGAGAAGAAGAGGGAGATGTACTTCCCGATGAGGAAGTATGCCATTAAGGTGTAGGCTAGGATCTTTCAGATAGTATTCTATTTACAAATCCATTTGCCCTTTTACTTACTAGTGTCATATTTGTGAAACCTGAGTTTTGATTTTGTTCAATTTCATGTTTGTCAACTTTTCCTTTTGTGCAAAACCAAGATGCCCATCTTTTTGATGGAAGTAGTAATTGAATGAGGGATATTTGCTTTTGTTGATGGGGTGATTTTGATTAAGGAATGAAAACCCGTTAGCTTGAACTTTCATTTCTTGTTTAAACTTTAAATCAAACAAAGCAAGTCATGAACTCTGTTGACTTGCTGTCCATCACCATCCCATCTTGCCCTGCACGCCAATACTTTCATTTTGTTAAAATATTAATTGTTTCAAGCCAGTTCAATCCCCCAGGGGAAGACATTTAATATTTCTTTATTTGCTGAGAATTTTTCTTGCATTAGACCACTTCTTATTAAGTTAAAAAAAAAGGGATAAAATGGAAAAAAAATTATATATATTTATATATTTGCATGTAGGTATGAAAAAACAATGTTTGGTTCTTCTTTGATAATGATATGTTCTTCTATTGCAATATTTTCATGATGTCATAGATATCAAAATATCTAATTAATCATGACTTATTCTATTTATTTTAAATAACATCTTTTAATGCCATTAAAAGATCTTTGATGTTATTTTTTCTACTGATTCTATTTTTAATAATTATCAGCAGATTCTTATTTGTGCAGTAAATAACTGTTTATGCAATCAAAACGGTATAGTATATGCTTACAGCTGCAATGGGTTTGAATGAATCCTCGTTCCAAATCAATGAAAAACATTATGTTAAATTAATTATTCACTAATCAAAATTCTAAACTAGCTCTAATTAAAAATGAATCACACAAGAATATCTAGCTGAACTTTGTCCTTTCTGATTTGACCATTTCTTTTGTCAATTTTACGTTGTGACAGGTTTGGTTCACAAAATAAAACAAAAAATAACTATTAGGCAGTTTGGTTTATAAAAAGGAATTATCATTATATACTATTTCAATATTTGATTGGTAAAAGTAATTTTTAAATAATAAAAAAAATAAAAATAATATATTTTACTATAATTTATGAATCTTATTTTGAAATATTTAATTCTAATGCCTATTTTTCTAAAGAAAAATAGTTTTATGCTCCTTATTCTCCCAAATTTTGGTACTAAAATTTTTATTGAACCTTTTTTTTTTAATTTTAAGTCAGTTTTTCCATATTTTAAAAACCTTCTTTTTCTCAAATTTTTGTCTCTTTCTGAAATTTCCATGATAAAAACAATATATTCAAGAAGAAAATGCAGTAAATAAGGAAAACTGGATTGTCAATGCTAAAATAGAGAATTACCCATCATATTAACCAAGTCATCATAATTTCTAAGTCACATATAATGGAACAAAAACCATGGACTATATAACTCTTTAAGCATGGCTATTGAATTTGTTGGTAAAAATACATAGTTTTTACTTAATTAAAAAGTTTTTGATATTGAAAGGTTTGAGCATTAGAGGTGCATGAAAAGTTTCTTTGATGATCATGACTAATTGGTTTTTCTTTCTTTCTTTCTTTCTTTCCTTCTTTTGTTTGGTACCCAAGAAAATTCGTGTTACTTGTAAATGTCATGATGAAAGAGCTACAAGAGGTCAACAAACAATCACATAAATTGATAAAATTAACTAATGAAATATTTTTCTTTGACTATAGAATTCCCATGCATGGTTTCATGCTAGAATTAATTTTCCATTTACAGAAAACCCATACATTTATTTTCTTTTTTTTCTACAACTTGACCCAAATAAATAAGTAAATAGATAATGAAAAGGAGCAGCAGCTAGTTTAACATCATTGTCAAAGTTTTTACCGAATGTATGAGAATTCAGGTTCATTAGCCTCCAAAATAAAAGACAAAAGATGTAGACTTCACCCCCCACATTCATCCTAGTCATTACGCAATTGACAACAAATTATATTTCCAATTCCTTTGAGGTTGAGTCTTAAGGGTACGAGAAATGTCTTTCGATATTATTATTTTTACGAATCAATCATATAGCTTTTAAATTTTGCATGTAATTTTATAAATATTGTCACGTTGTATTTTGAAAATTTCATCGATAATGTATAAGATGATTATCTATTTCTCTTAGAATATATCGCTTTTATTTTGTTATTTGTAAAATATATAATTGTTGATCTCTTTATCATAGTTAAAAAGGCAAATTAATTAAACATAAAATTTCCAAAATATAATACCATTGATCTCTCAGATATTTTATAAAAAATGAGAAAAAAAGTGGTAAACCTTGCATTCTCAGCCTTATCTCAATGATCCATACTATCAATTACTTTTAAAATCATTGATTACCATATATTGGGAAAATATTCCTGCAAGAATTTTCAATTCATTGAATGGGAATTGAATTTTCCCCAAAATTCTAGATGTTTTGTTCAAGTTTTCATGCAAATAATCATGATTAAGGCAACTGGATTTAAGGCAATAATTACATTTTTTTGAAAGCAAAGTTTGATTTGGTATGATGATGGTGATGATGATTAATTATGTGAAAAGACTCAACACTAAACTTTATTATAGCTTTCACTAAGCTTGTGTACTACCAATATAAAAAATATAAACATAACACTTTATTTAATTAAGGTTTTGACTTCAAATTTCTTTCTCTCAATTTTAAATATTTGATAAAACCAAAGAATTGGTGTCTTTTTTTTTAAATAAATAATAACTGGCGCCTTTGACTCAGTCTTAGAACCCAAACCCCATTTTTTCTTTTTTGCATTTATCTGATATATATTGGGAAATTATATAAATTATTTAATTGAATTTGGGTGATTCAAGTCTCAAAAGCTTTGAATGAATATATCATTATACTTTTGGTCAAAGTTAGTTGTTTTTTATTGTAGGAACTTTAATATAAGAACTTGACAAAGTCCAATTATTAAATCTATGAGCAAAATATTTGTACATTATTGTTTATTAGATATGTGAGGGAGAATATCTCTTTAGAAGTCACTAATTTTATTTTACTTTAATAAAAAATTGACCGATAGAAAGTAACTTCACCTATTTATATAATACGAAATAATCTTCCCTACATGTAATCGTAAATACAAAACTATATAATTCACGGGTACAATATGATAAACAAAAATAATAAAAGTAAAGAAAGAAAGAAAGGATAAAGGGTTTATTAAGAGTTATTGGTCGAAAAAGATATTGAAACAAAATTATTCAACGAAAAGAATTTAACGACTAAATTTTATGATGAATATTCAATTAAAACTCAATTAATAATAAAAGAAATCTTTATTATATATATATTTGTGTTTGGGATATTCATACCAATTTAATTAATGTAAGATTTATCATCAATCCAAATTCAATTTATCAAAGTGAGATTTTTTTTATTATCTCAAATTTAACATATATGAGATATCTCTCAAATTCAATCAAACCGATACATAATTTTAATAAATCATTACTCTTACGTGGTGTGTCCCCAACAACATCAGTGTAGTTCGTGTGAGGTGTAAGGGGCCACGTTCCCTTCGTCCTAATGCACAAGGAATTCTCTGCCTTTCATAATTTGAAGCCCTCATTCTGTTGAAAGTTTCCAAAGAAAAAGTCAAACCAAATTTAGAGGCTAATTTTATCACTCACAAAATTGATGCAATGTCATGGAAAATGACTAGATATTCTTTGCCTCACATTTAAATAAATATCAAATTGAGCAAGAAATTGGTAAGAAAGTCAATACAAAGTTGAAATAATAAACCACCAAAAATGGGCATTAATACTTTGACCTTTAAAATGGCCTCCTTTTTTGTCTTGCATTAATGTTGGGTTTTACTTATACTATTTGAATCACAAAAAAAAAAAATTACAAATTTTAAGTTCGAATTAAGAATTAAAATTAGGTATAATATCTAAAAAGTTCTTAAATTATTTTAAAAAATTAAATAAATTATCATTTTTTATTATATTCAATCAACTTCTTAAATTTTTATTTTAAGTCAATTAAACTCTTATATTTTTTATTTTGAATCAAATTAACTTTTATAATTAATAGTTAATTTAGTTAAAATGTCATTTATCATTTTATGTCACGTTATATTGACATGACATATTAAAATGTCTTAAATAATGATGACATTTATCACTCTCCATGTTGATATAACGTTAGCGTTACGTAAATATAAAATGATAAGTGATATTTTGATTAATAAAAATTAATTAATTATTAATTATAAAAATTTATTTAATTTAAAATAAAAATATAATAATTTGATTGAATGTAAATAAAAAATTACAGATTATTTATATATTTTTAACTAACTTCGACATACGCCATCTAGATATTTTATGATTACGTAATCATGTTGGGAAAAATTGTACATGAGAAAGAAGAAAGGATATCTGGTAGGTATAAACGAAAGGATATCTGGCAGGTATAAACGGATTTTAAGTATGGTCGGCAGTCGAGTTGGTGAAATCCATTGGTTTTGGGAAGACCGGGACCGGGACAGGGACAGGGACCGGCCCTTTGCAGGGTTACACACTATGAGTGTCTTTCCTGGTAGCTTCTTAATAAGTCATAGCTTTGTTCCTTCTTCAACCAAGTCTACCAATAAATCACAAGAATTTAAGGTGGGGGAGAATTAATAGCTGGTTATTTACAAAAATGTGCTTGAAAAACTCTAAGGATTAAACGATTTAATTTCCTAAGTTGTGGAAGTACTCGAAATTTAATTATGGGGTGAGAAGAAAAGGAAGTGTTCGGAAAGGAAACATGTGTGCATTCTAGATGGGGCAATTAGAGTTTTGCCCAAGCAAGAATGCAGAGGAAGACAATGTTATGTCCATGTCTGTTGGAAATTTTGGACGATAATCAAAAGCTGTCTAGTTCTTAGCTTCTTGGGTTGTAATCATGGTGTAAGACTTGTTGTGTTAGTTTATAGTTAAATAGACTGAATTGCTTGAAAAAAAGGACCGGAACCATCTGAGAAAAATGTTTCTTTAATCCCTGCCCATATTTTTCAATATTTTAAAAAAAATTCCATAAATTCTTGTATTTTCTTTCTATGGATTTAACTGATCAAGTCTTTCCTCCTGGATGATACTAGCAAAGTCTGCATACCAAAGCACTGTTGTTGAGACCAGTAGACTGTAGGCGCCCAATTGAGTCAGTCAATGATTGCTTTGGTCTAAACATGGTTGAGAAACTACCTCCCTCAATAGGGAACTAGCGGCTCCTCGTCCTCTATATAGTCACCCTCGCAAGGCAGAGGCATCAAAGCAATACCAAGTAAGAGGGAAGCTCTCTCTCTATCTTCATTGTACCCTTGAAGCCAAAATGGTGCTAGCAGAGACATCAAAGAACAACAGTCTCATTCCAAGGAAAGGATTGTCACCTCTCTTTTTCTCATCCTCTAAAGCACTCCCTTCTTCTTCTCCATCATCTCCTCCAAGCTCTCCTACAGTTTCTTCCCCTAGTCACACCTTCTCTGAGTTCATGATGGAAGAAAACATCGAAAATGCAGAATCAATCATCACCAAATGGGATGTGAACCCTTCATCATGGACTCAAGTTACCTGTCTCTTTCACCAAGACAGGAAAGAAGCCAGAGAATACCTCAAGTGTGTTAGAGACCTGCGTCGATCCATGCATTTCCTAGTCTCTCAGAAGTCGGCATCTGATAAGCTCGTGCTTGCTCAAAAGCTCATGCAAATGGCCATGAAAAGGCTTGAAAAGGAGTTTTATCAGATTTTGTCATCAAACCGCAAGCAGCTTGATCCAGAATCAGTTTCCAGCCTGTCCTCTGATGGGTCAGGCAGTTTTGATGACGAGCATGAGCTTGTATCTGAAGATGAGGCTGAGTTGAAAAAGGCTGGTGAGTCAATCACTGAGGTGGAGAGAGTCTCAGCACTGGTAATGTCGGATTTGAAGGCAATAGCCCAGTGTATGACCAGTTCTGGTTATGCTAAAGAGTGTGTAAAGATATACAAATTGTTCAGAAAATCAATAGTTGATCGAGGGCTATATCTATTTGGGATTGAAAGATTCAAGTCTTCTCAAATCAATAAAATGCATTGGGAAGCACTAGAGCATACAATAAAGAACTGGCTGAATGCAGTGAAGATTGCTGTGAGAACACTGTTTACTGGAGAAAAAATTCTCTGCGATCATGTGTTTGCAGCATCTGAGACTATCAGAGAGGCTTGCTTTGCTGAAATAACCATGGAAGGAGCAATAAATCTGTTCAGGTTTCCTGAACTCATTGCAAACAGCAAGAAAGAACCAGAGAGAATTTTCTGGCTACTGGAACTCCATGAAGCAATCTCTGAACTCTGGCCAGAGATAGAAACAATATTCAATTCTGCATTGACCTCAGCAATTAAGTTGCAGGCCCTTTCATCACTGCACAAAGCTGGTGACTCGGTTTCTGCTATACTGTCTAACTTCAGATCATCAATCCAGAAGGACTCATCAAAAACTCTGGTTGCTGGTGGAGGGATTCACCCACTTACTCGATCTGCAATGAGTTACATATCTTCCCTGGCAGATTATGGTAGAGTACTCTCTGATATTGTTGCTGACCATCCACCACCAGGAAATTCACCAAGTTCAGAATCGTGCTTTGAGAATCCAACCTCCATTGATGGTCCAACATCAGCAGGGTCAGTCCATCTTGCTTGGCTTATATTGGTGCTTTTATGCAAGCTTGACAGGAAAGCTGAGCTCTATAAAGATGTCTCTCTGAGATACCTTTTCCTGGCAAACAATCTTCAGTTCATCATTGATCAGGTTCACACAACTAACTTGAAGTATCTCCTAGGCGACGAATGGGTATCTATGCATACCAAGAAGATTAAACAATATGCTTTGCGCTATGAATCAATGGCCTGGAATAAGGTATTCTCATCTGTACCTGAGGGGACTTCTTCAGTACTATCACCTGAAGCAGTCAAGGACTGTTTTAGGAGGTTTAATGCTGCATTCGATGAAGCATACATGAAACAGACCTTGTGGATTGTACCAGATGGGAAATTAAGGGATGAACTGAAGGTGTCAATAGCAAGGAAACTGGTACCAGCATATAGGGAATTCTATGAAACACAACTGGTGGCATTGAGTGGGGAGAAAAACTTGGAGGTTTTAGTAAGGATTGCGCCTGATGACTTGGGAAATTACTTGTCAGATCTGTTCCATGGAACTCCATTTTCATCTAAGTCTTTGTCATCATCATCTCATTCACAAGGATGCCTTCCCAGGTGAAAGCTATAGTTCATGGCTACAATATGAACTGTAATCCGATGGCTGTTATACAAAGTTTGATAGGATCTCTTTCCTTCCTAATGCTGTTCTAAAGTTTTTATAGGAAGTTAAAGGAGTCAGCTAGTTCTGTCTGCAAATTCAGTGTGGAAAATATAAAATAAAGTATTAACTTTGCTTTTAATTCTCTGTTTTGAAGGTATGAAATTTCATAACTTTAGCCTTGCAAAGTTAAATATATACATAAAAGATGAAAGTATGATCAGAATAAACTTTGCATGAAATTATTAAGTTCTTTTAGGCAAAGAATTCCCTATTTGCTCTTCTAAAAAAAAAAGAATTCCCTATTTGTTTATTTAATTATAGTTCTGAAAATTCCCTACCTTTTGCTCATTAATGTTAAATTCAATAGATTGCGAACATAGAAAATCAAATAATACAAACAACATTGTCTCAAGTTTTCAGACCAAGGTTAATCAACATTTTTATATATATATCCTGGTTCTCGGATTGTTAAATCGAAGGAAGAAAATATAGGGGAGAAAAAAAAAAGGAAACTGAGATACATTTAGAGCTTGTACCTAGAATCATATAACCTAGATTTATAAGGAAGAAAATAAGAAGCCTCTCAAATACCATCATCTATGGTGGCCTAGGAATGGGTTGCCAACCTGTACATATTTGAAGGACATGTTTCAAAGAATCTGAGGGTGCTTCCATTGTCCATGTTTGATAAAATTCACTTGGATGGAATAAACTGTCTTGACCTATGCCTGTTAATATGCATGGTTGTGCACCATCTAGAAACAAGTCTCCTTCGGATCTTATTAAGCCAGACCTTGGCTCTTCCCTATCCGCTGCCTGTGTATCCAGCCAGAATCAGCATTCCAAACAAATCAAGTTAGCTGACAGCAATCTTGTCCTTTTTGAACTAATTGCAACAAAATCCAAAAACCAAAGCAAAAATGCAAAATGGAAGGAGAAAAGAATTCACTTGAAAAGCTACCATATCTCAACACATATTTTAATCCAAACATACAAAGGACCAATGTTCAACTCCGTACTTTGGTATAAATCACAGGCAACAGGAAAATGAAGCACACAGAGCTGTAAGATGCCTAACATCTTTCCTAGCAGTGTAGCAGATGATTTAGCAGTCAACATCACAGAATTACCGCTAAGTTCATAATCAAGAAGATAAAACAGTTTTTTCCTTTTTTAATAGTTATATTGGGAAAGGGGAAATATGAACGTGAGACACTCTAAATGGAGGAAGAGAATGGTTATCTGTAGGCTATGCCTTGGTCAAAAATATAACTCACTTTCTGCTGTTTGCTTCAGGCTACACATTCTAAACAGCTGATAGTGATGGAAACAGACACTGATATCCAAAAGAGCTCAGGTATGAAGCGTCACCTCAACAACAAGATGGCTTGCAAGAAAAAAGATATTTACCACTTATCATGTTGACCTCTGTTGTACAAGAGGCTTTTTGATTATACTCTGTGACCAGCAGCACTCCCCATTTGCAAGGGGATAAAAGCACAAAGAAACAGAGCAAAGTAATATATATATCTAACCTCATAAGCTCACTAGTAGGACCTTGCAAATAAATGTAATTTATTATCCAAAATGGGACGTCCCACTAGGCATTTGACTCAAACAAGGTGCTTAGCATCCAAAGAGGATGTAACTTAAGCAGAAACTTTGCTCGTAAAGATTCTCGTTCCTCTAGCCTGCTTCTGCAATTTAGAACTACTAATGCAGCTCTTATTAGTAAGAGATACGAGATCTGAGGTCCTGCTTCTCAAAATTTGCATAACTATAATGTCTTGAGGACTAGCAGATAGCAAACAAAGAAACCTTGTAGTTCTTAGTTTAATCCTTATGAAGTGACAATAAATATCACCATATTAGGATGGATCTGAAAGACAGACACATGAATGAACCGATGAGCTAGCAGGGTTATTAATAAGATTGTTGAATAAACTTCAACAGATAAATTCTTAGTACTGACAGTGAAACAGCCAAAGAGATTCCCATAGACCAATTGAAAATTTCACAGTAACCATCACATTGCTTTTGTTTAGCAAAAGATGTTACCTTCTCGGTATAAAATTCAAAAGTTTTTTTCTTCATTCCTGCTTCATAGATGTTGCATTGAGAATATATCTGATTAACAAAAAACATACACAATCAAAACAAAAATATCCATAGTTTGTATATGAAAGACAAAATTATCGATATGCTTAATAATTTTTTAGGGAAAGAAACCTTTACCTGAGCTTCTACACTTGCACAAACAGCATAAATGTCCCAGTTTCTGGTGTAGTTGTTGTACAAATGAACCTTTCCAAATCTAACACGAGGATGCCTTTGCCGAGTTCCATCAAAAAAGCAATGGTGAATAGTCACCCGAATGCATCTATCCCAAACGTGAGAAGGGTCTGCTCCAATAAGCATTGTCTTGTCATGTTGAGCAAAGTAACATCTGGAGAACAAAATGGCAGAAACAAAATTAAAAGCCCAGAATTCAATGTCTCTGACTATTACCAAGTATTGCAGAGAATCCCTTAGGGGCCAAAAATTAAAGAAACTAAAAGACAAACCCAACCAAAACTCAGAATTCAAACATCAAATTCAATCTCATTTCAATGATTATTACCCAGTTCAGGATAAGATCATTTCCACGAATGCCTTTGGGGCTAAAAGTGCAGAAACAAAAACAAACCCATCAAAATCCGGAGTTCAACCATCACATTCAATGTCATCTTCAATGATAATTATAACCCATTCCAACCCAACACCATCTCAACCAATAATTAGAAGGAAAACAATAAAAACTTACCTAGAGACAGTGATGTCAGTGCTTCCTCTAGTAATATCAATCAACCCATCATCATAGTCTTTAAAGCTACACCTATCAATCCAAATATGCTTAGAATTGGGTTTTATTTGAATACCATCAACATCATGTCCTCTTCCTCCTTCAAACTCCATGTTACAAATGATCACATTTTCACATTCCTTTAACCTCAACCCTTTTCCTGTCAGCTTAATCCTTTCACCACGTCCATCTATTGTCTTGTAAGAACCCACGCTTAAGTACGATGATAGTTGGATTACTCCCGACACTTCGAACACGATCCAAACCGGTCCCGGTCTCCGGCAGGCTTCTCGGAGAGAACCTTGACCGTCATCTACCAAGGAAATTATATTAAGAAAATGAAATTTAATGTAATTTGTAAGAAAATAAACAAAGCAAGTGTGGGAGAAAACGGACCGGATAATGAGGTGACGCAAAAGAGAGGACCATGTAGACCGCCGATGGCGAACCGGCCGAAGCCCTCCGCTTGACCGGCGATTGCTCTTAAGGTACTGTCCGCGTCGGCGTACGGAAGCGACGCCATCTTCTTCTTTTCGTTTTGCTCAACGTAGTCGTTTTGAGGGATATGGGCTCCGAGACGCTTTGAAAAGTCGTTAATTTCCGTTATTAACGGCGCGTTTGGTGGAAAATTTAGTGGCGGGGGTTGAATAAGGCCGTGTTTGGATTTTTAGATAGGTTAAAAAATAAAAAAGACAAAATTAGGATTTACAAATTTTATTTTTAAGAGTATTCGGTTCAAGTAGAAGTATTCATGAACCGACCAAAACAACATAAAAATCTTATCCAATCTAATTTCACAATAAGCCAATCTAATAGAATAAAATAGAAAATTCACAATTTATGTCTCATTTAATGTCTCTTTTATAATTTAATGTCGCATGTACTATAAATTTTTGTTTATTAACATTAATCTTAGTGCCGTTTAGTTGTTATTATTTCTACCGTCATTGGGTATTAAACTCAAATTTAATTTTGATAAATACTTGATTACAATATTGTAAAAATGTTTAAAAAATTGTAAACAAAAACTAATGTTAATAAAAAAAAACTATTGGACATGTGACACCAAATTATAAAAAGTGCACCGATGGAAAACAAAGTAAGGACAATTGATTTTTATTCTCATGATATAGTTGTATTTTCGTATCAAAGTTAATTTAATACTTAGAAAACACTAACGTAAGCATATATTTGAAATTCGTAAATATTATCATTACATGCATGTCAAAATGTTTTTCTAATGTAAATTGTCACATTTTTAATTATTTATAAAGTATTAAAACGATTTTGAAAGAAATTAAAATTTTAATTATGTAAGGATATATATAATTAAAATTACGCCTATTACTATATATTATCATTTTTCTGGGATTCTAATATACACATATCATATTGATTTTTCTCAATTAATGTTGTACTTATTATGCCACACACATGTTAAGTTAACTTAAACAGAAATATAGCTTAAATGGAGGTAATTAATAAATATAGGTGGACAAAGAAAATGAACAAGGAAAAGAAATCCTATCATCTTTATATAACCGTGCTGTTTAATAGATAAGAACACTTTTTAGATATTCATTGAATAAAAATATAATAATTTATTTAATTTTTTTAAATAATTTAAATTTTTTTAAAAATATATTATGTCATTAATATAGTAATTAAATAGACGTGTGATAACATTTTTAATCTTATTCTTAGAATTTAAATTAGATTGATGCCAAGTGGTTGGGAGTTAATACTTTATGTTCTTAAAAGAAAATGTAGGATTTGGTGAAGTACGTTAATGAGGGAAAGTTAGTCCATTTATTTAACACAAATATTTTAATTAATTTTATTGTAATGCTAATTAACTTCAATTAATTGAATTGTTGCATCCGAGAGGAAATGAATACTTTTGGATTTAACATATTAGCAATGAATGAATTCCTTTCCCTACAAGGCGAAGCCGTCAAAAGTAGATATAATCCCATCAATAATAATGAGAATCCCCCAACTATTAAATGTCATCTGATTGCTCCCAAACGGTTTATGAAAGATAATAAATAATAAATGCATGTATTTTTTTTAAAAAATATTTTAACAATTGTTTAAAAAAACGAATGATATTCAAAAGTTAGTGATAAATTTTATTTAGTTTAAAATAAAAATATAAAAACTTGATGTAATAAAATAATAAAAATTTATTTAAATATTTTAAATAATTAAAAAATATTTTTTAAGCATTATAACATTGTTTTCTTTTTATGTTAAATACCAACTAAATACCAAACATTTTGACAACCAATGACAGATCAATTTGCATGGAAAAAACCACCCACATAAATATACATATCAATTACGGATTTTAGCCAAAAAAAAAAAAGACAAGGAAAACGTGCTCCTTGGATTTTTAGCTGTCTTTAATTATGAAAAAAAAAACAATAAATAGTGATAAATAATTCCATATTTATTGGGAAGCAATCAGTGTTTGCAATTTGCAGCATTATTGGTATATGATAATAATTGCAAAAAACCTTGTCTTTGTGTTAACTTAATTATGTATTAGTTAATCGCTCAACCGGTACACACGACTTTTCATCATTAATAGTTAATGAATAACCAAACTTTTATCTTATCATTTAATTGCACTTAATTTAATAATTAACTTTATTTTACATAAAATCATCCGTAAAATAAATAAATATCTATATAACTTGCATGGTCCGCATGTTATATTCAGAGATACTTAATATAATTAATTAAATTTGATACATCAGGAAGTTATCACAGGATGTTAATTGAGAAAAAAAAAGTAGTATATTAGGTGAAAAAAGGTAAAACTACAAAAAGTATAGATAAAATTTACCAAAAATAGATTTGGTAATTTCGTAAATGAAAGTAAATAATATCATATCAGTATCTTGGAGCAGTGAAGAAACTTAATGGTATGTCTGCTGAGTAGAAACTTAATGGCTTCCCCCACTTGCACTTCTTGGTTGGTCATATTAAGTAGTCAAAGTGTGTTCCCAACAGCAACGTGGAAGGTAGTTGAAATTTAAGATTTTAATTTGATTTCGCAAAATAAACGAAACGAGTATTAATGATTTACGAGAAATAAATGACAAGACATAGAAATATTTTTTAAAATTTTTTACAAATTTATGAAAAATAAGCTCATAAATCTATTTCGAGTTATCACAACTACCAATCAAGTGGTGGGAAGAATAGATGATTAATACGTTATTCGTTTTATTAAAAGTTTTAAAATTTTATAACATAAATGTATTTTTAAAATTTTATAATTTTATCTTTATAATAATTTTTTAATTTGATGAGATGCTTCAATAGCAATTATAGATTAAAGTAAAATCTTAGACAATTAATTTTAATAAATTTATGGAATAAAGTAAAACTTATTACAGTAGAATTATTTTTCAAGTCTCGCTATCTAAGACCCCACCACCGACCTACTTCGTGTTGGTCCCTCGAATGCGAAATCCTAACTCTATGGTCGAAAGCAGCCGAGCAAAAACAACAGGCTAAAACCAGAGCAGAGAAATCCATGTGCTAGGAACTTACTCAGCCTCCACCCATGGGTGTGGACAGATCTATATCTGTGGATATGCCTACAAAGAATATCCGTAAGAAAATATCTACTTTAATTCTTCTGTTTCTCTTTTGCTAAACTGTGTGAACAGCTACTTGTACGTCTAAGTCTACCTTTCCTAATGTTCAGCTTCATTCTGATTATTAAAAACAGCTGTAACATGATGTAACAAGTCTAACAGAACTCATTAAATTTGCAGTTTGGTTGAACTTAGACTGTCCTGCACAAGTTGTATCAGCACTATTTAATTTACCTCCTGCATACTTTCTTTTATATATATATTTATCTAAGTTATTTGGTAAAATTACTTTTAGAAAAAAGAATAATATCTGCCTTGAATTCATATTTTACTTCTCCTAGTGTTGGATATAAGTCCGTATATACCTAATATTAGAGGGACGGTTCCTAGTAATTATTAATACAATTGGTTACAGCTATTTGATCATGGAGTTAAAAGTCAAGGGACACAATGAACATGAATATCGTTGAAATTGGTTCATTCACATATAGTTGTATAACCATGGGTTGTCAAATATTGTCCTAAACTTAAATTTGTAGAAGGAGTTTTCGGTTTTTGTTTTTCCTTTATTCTTTTCTCTCCATCCAATCACCTCATTTTTCTAGTTGCATTTGCATGTGCTGCTCTCTTAATGTAACTGCCATCTCCTACTCTACTTAAACCTAGTTAATGCTCATACCATTTCCATGCTAGAAGTTGTTGAGGATGTTCAAGCCTTATTTGAAAAGTCCATCTTCCACACCTAAATAGATAAGAGAAGATCAAATCCAAAAAGCAAATTAGGATTTCTTTTTAAGCGTAAAGAAGAAAGATGGAAAGTGGAGTATTATAAATAAAGGGGAGGGTTTCTATACATCAAGGTCACATAGTACTTGTACAAGCTCCAAATTAAAGAAGAGCAGAAAACTTTCTTTCTCTTTTCTCTTTTTTCAATGGAGCTCTTCATGACTATATGTCTAATATTTCTTTACTGCATCTTGTTCTTCATTTGTAAGTTGTTTTTGCAAATGAGAAACCAGTGCTGCTATATCTTGGCCTATGAGTGTTACAAGGCTCCTGAGGACAGGAAGCTTGACACTGAAACCTGTGGGAAGCTCATCATGAGGAACAAAAATCTTGGTCTGGAACAGTACAGGTTTCTTCTACAAGCTATGGTCAATGCAGGCATTGGTGAAGAAACTTATGGCCCAAGAAATGTCATTGCTGGCACAGAAGAATCTCCAACCCTTTCAGATACATTTTCAGAGATTGATGATATAGTCTTTGGCACTCTTGACAAACTGTTTGCTAAAACAGGAGTTTCTCCATCAGAGATTGATATTCTTGTTGTCACTGTCTCAATGATCACTTCAGCACCCTCTTTACCGGCTCGAGTGATCAACCGTTACAAGATGAGGGAAGATATTAAGGTCTTCAACCTCTCTGGAATGGGTTGTAGTGCAAGTGTTATAGCTGTTGATCTTGTCCAGAATTTGTTCAAGACATACAAGAATGCGTTTGCAGTTATTGTGAGTTCAGAATCATTGAGTCCAAATTGGTATCGTGGCAAAGAGAGATCCATGATGCTCCCCAATATCCTCTTCCGGTTGGGAGGGTGTTCCTTACTCTTGACAAACAAAAGAGCTCTAAGGCCTCAGGCCATGCTGAAGCTAAAACATTCGGTTCGAATCCATGCCGGCTCGAGTGATGAAGCATATGAAAGCTGCACCAGAATCGAAGATGCACAAGGTTACTGTGGTTTCTTCCTCACTAAAAACCTGCCAAAGGCTGCTGCTAAAGCTGTAACCATGAATCTCCGAGTTCTAGTACCCAAAATGTTACCGCTAAGGGAACTTGTCCGCTACGCAGTAGTATCTTATTGGAGAAGTAAGAGCAAAACCTCAACTCCTGAAGCAGCAGGAGCAGCTTTGAATCTTAAGTCTGGCGTTGAGCACTTCTGCATTCATCCTGGTGGAAGGGCAGTAATTGATGCAATGGGCCGAAGCTTAGGGCTCAACGAATATGATCTTGAGCCAACTCGAATGGCACTTCACCGATTTGGCAACACTTCAGCCGCTGGACTCTGGTATGTCTTAAGTTACACGGAAGCTAAAAAGAGGCTGAAGAAAGGTGACAGAATTTTAATGATCAGTCTTGGAGCAGGTTTCAAGTGTAACAACTGCGTATGGGAGGTAATGAGGGACTTGGAGGATGTCAATGTCTGGGAAGACTGCATAGGTCGCTATCCTGTAAAATCCACAGCCAACACTTCTTTCCTGGAGAAATACGGTTGGGTGAATGAGCCCAGGCATGACAAATAGATATCGAGGCAGCAAACCAGGATTCTTGGTTTGGAATCTATAAATCAGAAAGTGATATGGGCCAGCCAATCATCATTTGCCAATTGCAAGCCCTAGTTAAAAGCCTGTCTATGATCCTTTTGCTCATTTATGAGCTGATCTTTCTGATCAACTTAATTGATTATGTATTATTAAACACCAGTTTACCCTTGTCCAGGAAAACCAGCATATGTTTGAAATGTCCATTGTCCAAGAAGAGGATGTGAACTATTCTTCAAATGGTTGATTCTACAGTTTTACCCTCTTCTTTTTTGGAAAATATTAATTGAAATAACAGCACCACAGCACCACTGTTGGGAATTAATTGTTAAAATTAAATGTGACAAGAAACTTGGCTTCGGAGGCAAGTCATTTAAGAGGGCAAAAAGTTACATATGGCTAGTTAAAGAAGGATATCAGCGCCTTGGGGGCTGTGGCACTCAGCTGCAGTAGCTTCTTTGTCCTTTGCCAAGATTTTAAATGTCCAATTCAAAGCATAATATTTTCTTCTTTCCTGCTTAACATCATTACTTCTATATGCAAAATGTTCTTCTTTAGCAGAAACTTTAATCCTTTCTGTGCTCTACAAAATATTTTAAAACCTTAAAGTTTCTTACTTACCATCACTTTGGTCTATGGGATGCTAAAAACTGATAACCACCAATCCAGTCCATGTAAAATACATCTATTAGATGCACTAAAAGTTTGAGGATCAGAAAATCCGGGTTCTCCTTAGAATCTGCTTGGTTGGTTTTTGTTAATAATGTTATGTTCTCATCTGAATATGACTGGGAAGGAAATTGTATTTACTTTTCCTTTGTGTTCAAGGGAAGTCTAGTTAACAAAAATTTGCTAGGGTTTCAAAATTTTAGTGGGAAAGTGCTATATCAGGTTTTTAAAGCCTCACAAACACAAACTGACAATATTAATGGTTAAGAAGAAAGAATTGGTTAAGCCTCCAAAACTATGGGCACATGGAGGAAGTTTCTCAATGTGTCAGTTAGAGTACTGGTTTCTTTGCTAACCCTGCAACTTGATTAGCTCCAGCTTCCATAGCAGTAACAGAAATGAAAGAAGTTTAAAACTTTCAACCACTGATTCATTATTATCATTAAAGGCTCTAGGACCTATGCCTTCACAGTTACACACTCACCCTAGACAGGATGACTTTTTTCATTTTGTATTGTGAAAATGGATGGAAAAAGAGGGCTGCTACAGTTATGAAGTGGTTAAAGACCATGATATGAACAGATAAGGATCAGTTCCAGCTATTAATCTTTTTAATTCAGTATGTCTCAATTATGTTAAAGGATATTTTAGGCCAGTGCTTTTTTCAGCAGAGTTTTTACTTACTTAAAGATGCAAAATATCCATAAATTTCTTATAAAAACAACCCTCTTTAATAAATTTACAACCTAATCACAACAAAAAATTTTACTAGCCAGCAAAAATTATATCATGTGAATAAGATCTGATTCTGTTGCCATTTATTTTACCAGCGCAAAAATGTTTCTGGTCTTTGAATTATTGATCTTGATTAATTCCCTAAGCTTCCAATCTCCCTTTCCATCCAACTACCATGAATTGACAGATAAAAGTTTTCCATTTGTCATTTTCATTTCTTTTGCTTCCATCTTGGTAGAAATCTGGAAAACCCAAAGAAAGAAATGGAATCTAATTCTTGGTTGTGTTTGCTTCAGTGAAAGCTACACCTACTGCAGGTGCAATCCTCCAACATCAAGCAGAAACCAGTGTAGAAAAGCTCAATGACATTGTTGAAGACTGGAAAAAAACAAGATAGCAAATACAAAACGGTTAAATACATTGTCTAGTAAACTACATGACCCAGGCATTGATATGAACCAGACTTCACCAATCTGACCTGACATGGAATGTAGCATCCTATGTATGTTCAAGCAGGCCATTAACAAAAAGAAAGTGAGATATCAGATATTCACCTTAGTTGCTGTACAATGTGTAATTAAATAGAAACACCAGGACATATCATGCAGATATACAATTTCTTTTCTTTATGTGACTTGATTTCTACTGATCTTTAGCTACCAATTTCCTTCTTCCTTTTTACCAATGTTATGCAAAATTTATGTGCAAGACTGTTCTGTTACAAGCCATGTGGTGGACATAATTGTAAGGTACGAAATGAATTGAGCTAGTAATTGTGAAATAATGGCTGTTTTTAACACTCTTATAGTCAATTCATCTTGATATGGGACATGGTTTTTGGTACCATCTCATGCAACCTGATGGCCTCATTTATTAAAGGAAAATAGGAATCAGTCATTGGTTTCCTAGATGAGTTTGATAGTCAACAGTGCTGCTCTCGACATTTAATGCTTAGTCTTCCATTTCACAGAAAAATAAACGAAAAAGAAAAGAAGAAATCGATGTTCATCAAGGTTTTCACCTCCCAATTAAACTGAGGTGTGCCCTACTAACAAGCTACAGCTGTACCAATAGATGGGGGTCGTTGAAAATGTTATTGCTTTTAAATGTTGAAAGAGCAAGTTAAAATAAAATTTTCGAGATAATATTAACTCATGATCTGGTTTGTGGATGTAAAGTGGATGGCAAAGGATCAACAGAGTACTATAAATAAACAGCATGTATCATTTCCACAAACGGAGCCTCATAGAAATATATAGTTTCCTCTCTCCTCTCTGTGTCTCACTTAATGGAGCTTTTCATAACAATATGTTTTTTGTTATTTTTCTGCATAATCTCCTACTTCTATAAGAGGTTTTTTCAAATAAGAAACCAGTGCTGCTACATGTTAGCGTATGAGTGTTTCAAGGCTAGTGACGACAGAAAGCTTGACACTGAAGCCTGTGTAAGAGTTGTCATTCGGAACAAGAATCTTGGTCTAGACCAGTATAGGTTTCTCTTACAGACAATGGTCAATTCAGGTCTTGGTGAAGAAACTTATGGCCCAAGAAATGTCCTTGCCGGCAGAGAAGAAACTCCCACTCTAGAGGATGCACACTCAGAGATGGATGAGATTATGTTTGACACACTTGACAAGCTCTTTGCTAAGACTGGAGTCTCTCCATCCGAGATAGATATACTCGTTGTGGATGTGTCACTGTTTTCTCCAGCGCCCTCCTTAACAGCTCGAATTGTAAACCGATACAAGATGAGGGATAACATTAAAACCTTCAGCCTCTCCGGAATGGGTTGTAGTGCAAGCATGGTAGCTGTAGACCTCGTGCAGCACTTGTTCAAGACTCACAAGAATGCATTCGCAATTGTTGTGAGTACAGAAACAATAGGTCCGCATTGGTACTGTGGCAAAGAAAAATCCATGATGCTGTCTAACTGCCTGTTTCGATCTGGAGGGTGTTCGGTGCTCTTGACGAACAGAAGATCTCTCAAGCATCAAGCTCTGATGAAATTAAGCCATTCAGTACGAACCAATATGGGCGCAAATGATGAAGCATATGGATGCTGCATACAAATTGAAGATGAGCAAGGGTACCAGGGTTTTCTTCTCACAAGAAGCCTAACAAAAGCTGCTGCTAAAGCTTTTACCTTGAATCTTAAAGCTTTGGTACCCAAAATCTTACCAATAAGTGAACTACTTCGGTTTGCTATAGTATCTCTCTGCAAAAGTAAGAGAAAAAGCTCAACTCCTGAATCGGCAAAAGCAGGTTTGAATCTCAAGACTGGTATTGAGCATTTCTGTATTCATCCTGGTGGAAGGGCAGTGATTGATGGTCTTGGAATGAGTTTAGGGCTCAGTGAATATGATCTTGAGCCATCTAGAATGGCGCTTCACCGGTTTGGAAACACATCAGCTGGCGGCCTGTGGTATGTTTTAGGTTATATGGAAGCCAAGAAGAGGCTCAAGAAAGGTGACAGGATTCTGATGATCAGCCTTGGAGCAGGTTTCATGTGCAACAACTGTGTTTGGGAGGTAACAAAGGACTTGGAAGATTCTAACGTATGGGAAGACACTTTAGATCGTTACCCCGTCTCCAGGGAAAACCTGGTAAACCCTTTTACTGAGAAGTATAGCTGGATCAATGATGAGTGTCTGAACTTTGTTAGGATGGACTAGAAAAATCAATCTTTCCTGCATTTTCGGATTTCTATATTTATGTTTTAAACTCCTCCCATTTGTTGCATTAGGTTTCATTCTTGAATAAGAAGTTGCCATTATCTAGAACAGATCAACAGGACAAGTGTAACCCATTTCACATTTTCTACCATATTTGTGCTATCATAAAGTTTCTGTATTCATTTATCAATTACATTAATGTTATGATAAAGTTTATGTTTGCATATCATCTAGCATATTGTTGTTGTTGCTTGTATTCTAGTTCTAGAACAAAAAGAAACAAAGTTCTACTACAAAAAGATTCTGTCCGAAGATTACTTCCTCCACTAAAATCTAACCTAACATTCATAAAAGAAGAAAAAAAAACCAGAAAGAAAAATTGGAATAGCACCCATGTGGTCACAGGAAAGAGAAACAGATTGGAGACAAGGAAAAAACTCTTGATTCATGTTGGCCACATGACCTGCTGTCCTCCTGTTGGATTCAAGAGTCAAGACCATTTCTCATCCACTAGATCAGAACTGCATTCACTATGAGTTCTTTTCTCTGATGCACAATAAATTCTCGACATTAAAGTGAACCAGCTGCCCCAGTAAGGTTGCTTAAATTTTTCGGAGCCAATCAGTTCAAGTTGGTCGCTCTGCACCTGAAAACCTACCGTGCGTCATTGAGTAAAGATTAATTTAATTTAAATTATTGCCAAAAGTAAGTTGACAACAGCCAGTCCAAGCCTGGACATGATGCACCAACGCCTGGAGAAAACAAACCTCATTAATTGTGCCAGTACCCTTAATGAGGATAGGATCCTATACCTACTTCAGCCTAAAAGAGAGGAGAAAACATTGCATTCCCTCCTTTGCAACCCTCTCCCCTCTTAATGGTTCTAAACAATGCAAGTACGTACAAGCAGATCTTCTGAGGGCACGTGGAGATATATAGGAGAACAACTTCTACAAAAATGGTTTACCTCAATTAAATAGGCCTCCGGACTTTCATTTTTAACCATTAAATTAATTTGAAAGCTGTGATTAGCCACGCTAGCCAAGCCTTCCTAACATGTCGTCAATCAATTGAGCATAAACAAAGGCTTCACCATAATCCATTGAAGCTGCAAAAGCTACCGAGCTATATTGAATTGAGAAGTAGTACGGATAAACATTTATGACAGCAATAACCAAAGACATGATAGACAAGTGACTTTTGCCTGTTGGTAATTGCATTCAAGCCCCTCAATGATAAAAGCTGTAAGAGATACATAGGCACACAACTTTTCTATTTAAAAGTGAACGCTAGCAAGCATGGTTCGAAACAAAGGGGCCGTGCACTGAGCACAGTGGGAACTATCCTTTCACCTTTTACATAAATAATTTGTTAATTATGGTGTGGCAACCAACATTTCCACTTCAAACACACATTTGCCAACATGATGAAACAGTTTGTGTGCCTACCAAAACTACATTAATAATGATGTTTTTCTGTTTTTGTTTCAGTACCCATGCTTAAGGCATGATGTTAATCATACTTGAATGGAGGAAGTGATAACTCTATATAGGTACTTTTAGAGTTTTAATTTTGTTAAGTTTTTTAATTTTTTTTATTTTTATGTAGTTTTTAATTTTTTTTAAAAAAATATTTTAAGTTGTGGAATGTCAAGTTTCATTCATGCAAGTTTAGTTTAATTTTTTTATCAAAATCTCTCAATTCAACTTTTAATTATTTAATTTTTTAATATTGAAGGACATGCAAAGACTTGAAGCATGAATGCAAAAGAGGGTGCAATTAGGTTTAAAAGTAATCAAAAATGCTAAGATTAAAAGGCATCTATTAGGGGTATATCTTCCAGTATTTTATGGTTTCTGAATGTGTTTGCTGATGTTTCCATGGAAAGGAATGCTTCATTCCCGATTATCAACGAAAGTTCATGAATGCCTTTCAAAAAAAAGAGGCATGATGTTTTAATCTGATCTCTCTTGATTCAGATGGTTCTAAAGAAGCAAAAACTGGCCACATACAGCAAGAAATGGGATGGGTTTTATTTCAGCTGTGGTCCACAGATAGAGTTGTTGTCTTAATCATTGAGCCAAACTCACTAAATTGAATTTAATTCGATATTCAATGGACTCATAGCTCCAGGAAAGTAGATGAAAATATGCGTGTTCATCCTAGGAAATTGGAGCATTGCTGGATTTATGTGCTACTTTTGGTGGAGTAAAGTCTTCAATGGAGCAGCAAATGCCATTGAAAATGCCTATGAATGAGTAGATACACTGCGATAGAGCTCTAAAAGTTAGAGACAATGTGAAGAAAGTGTGTGGGCTAGTAGTGGTGAGTTGCACAATGAAATCAAGTAATCTTGGTTTTCAACATCCATTTTCATGAAAAAATACTTCAATGAAAGGAAAAAGGCTCATAGAATAGAAGTAAAATGTGCTGGTATTGCATTAGATCAAGCCTGAAAAATGAGAGGAAAATGTGATGGAGAGATATATGTGAGGCTTGGCAGCAGAGTAAGCGGGGAAGATTTGGGAACGTCCCACATTCCAAAACAAATCCCAAAGGCATCCCGGCAAGCATGTTAAAATGAAAGCTCGAACGGGGAAGGGAGGACACGGAGCCGTACGATAAGCACATAGCGAACTATTCTTTCGCCTTTTACTAAAGAATACCGTGTGCTTGTCGCTTACAGCGGCAAACGCCTATATTTGGAGGGCTGTACCTTTGGGAAACGGGCCCATTAATTCTCAGTTCCAAAGTTCTCACTATTGACTAATGAGGCTTGGGTTAAGGGAAACATCTATCCACTAGGGGAATGGGGCCCAGGCTTAAGAACAAAGAAAATGCTAACATATCTTATATTATTCATAAAATGTAAATTGTTTTTTATTTTTATTTTAGATTAATATTGTTTTTATTGATTAATTGAATTAGTTAAAATATGAATTGTCATTTTTATATACATTATGCATAGAATTATATCATGACAAGTGATATAAAATTAAATTAAATAAATAATATTTTAACTAATAACAGTTAATTAACTATTAGTATTGTGATCTTAACAAAATACCATGAATCTCACATCAAAAAAGTTGTACGCTCTCAACAAAGAGTCGTGAGAATTGGCAATCACGAGAACATTACAAGAGAAGATATCATAAATTCTAACAAGAGTCGTGAATTTCACGTCAATTATATGTTTGTCTTAATCAAAATGGATAATATCTCGTAAGTTCGTATGGATTGTGATAATTAATTAATAAAATTTTATTTTATTTAAAATAAAAATATATAAATTTGATTAAATATAATAAAAAATAAAATTTGATTTAAATTTTTTAAAATAATTAAGGGTTTCTTTTTTCCAATATTATCCCATTTATTTTAAAGGGAAGGCAGGATGCCTAGATGCATGAATCTCCATCACAATACTGTTTATGCTATTTTGGCATGTCCTTACATAGTCCATGAAAGTGAGAGGCAGGAAAGCCAAATATTGGAAAAAGTAAATATAAGCACCAAAAATTTTCATGTCTTTGCCTAATTGGACTATGGGATTAGCCCACAAATATGCAAAGTCATCCAATAATGTTTAATATATTTTCCAATATTAGCAAGTTTTATATTGTTTAAGAATTTCTTTAATTTATTTTTCAGGTGTATGTATGTGAATTTGTCATGAGTGAAAAATATTAATTTGGGATAAAAAGTAATTCTTTCTGAGGAAAAGGGAAGTATCTTTTATATAAATATAAAAGAAAAAAATAATTGTTAATTTTTATTTTGTACAGTTATGATTAAGTAATAGTGTATAAAATCTATACATTGACAGTATATCATCTATGAACTGATAACATAAATATGTTATACACAATCAATATTGTGCATTAAAATTAATCTTAATTAAAAAGATTATACAAAATAATATTTTTACATTAAATTTAAAATTATTTACTATAAGAAATTGATTAAATCTTAACCAATAAAGTATCATCCTCTCTGCATTTATATTATTATGAAAGCAAACCTTCTCTGTGCTTCTATTTTAACAAAAGAAAAAATACTATTTTATCCATTTTTTTGTGTTTAATTAGTGTCAAATTTTCTCATATAAGTATGTTAGAGTTATAATTTGTTATAATTTTATTAGTGATTAAGTAGTAATTTGTTGGATTGGACACTTTACACAGCAATAATATTAATAATAATCAAACAAAAATATCGTCCCTTAACAAAAGTCTATTAAAAAAAGTAGTGTATTATTATTTTGTTTTCACGTGTTCTGTTTAGTAATTTGATATTAATTTTATGAAAGAATTTTTGTGGGAAACATTTTACAAACAAACCTAATTTTTTTATTATTTGAATAAATTGTAAAAAATATATTTTGCATTTCAATCACTCTATAAAAAATATTTTTCATCCTAATTCATTTTCAACAAATTTTTACTATGACATTATAAAAATGTAAATATTTATCAATTATGCAAGACATTTATTTTTCTCTAGTAAAAAAAAAAGAAAAACAAGAAAGGATGAAAGCTCTTTTTTTTGAGAAATGATTTTATATTTTTAGAAGACGTAAAGCAATTTTCCTAAATCAACATATTTAACATTGTTAGATTAAAAAATTTTGTGATTTTCGAACCAAAATAGTAAAAAAAAATTATTTTTTTCAATTAGATTAGACCTGACTGAATTGAATACAATTTGAATAAAATGATTTGATTTGATTAGTCCATTGGGTCTACTGATTTAAAAATTTTAGTCTAATTGACTTATTTAATTAGTTTTCAGTCTTTAAATCAAACTAATATTATATATATTTAATTTGAAAGATATGTAAAACTTTTGAATTTAATTTGATAATTTATGTAAAATGACATAATTATGTAAATGAAAAGACAAATGTTATATATTTTTTATGTTTATATTATTTGTATATTTTATAATTATAAATTAAATTTATAAATTTTAATATTATAATTTATAAAAAATAAAAATAACAAAATTTTAATTTTTTTATCTGAAATAAATCGATCAAATTAATTTAATATTTAATCAATTCAATCTTCTTTTAAATTTAATCTATTTTAAATAATTTTATAAATATATTTTATTTATTTTATTTATAATTATAACAGATCAAAATATGGACAGAGTAAACAGTGCTTATATGTACAATCACATTCCCATTGACAGCAAAGACAATTTAAACAACCAGAGTCCACAAGCTTGAAAAATTGGGAGTCAGAAAGTGACGACTCCTGCCATGGAAATTAAAGACACCTAAAAATTAAATTAGAAAATAAAAAAATTCTAAGCCAATGCCTAATATTTCTTTTTTTTTTTAATTTTCTAACAAAAAAAAAAAAAAGACAAAGAAATTTCCAAACACCTTCCTCCGCCAACCTCTGTCTCTCTCTCTATCCCTTTTTCTTTTTCACTCATTGCTCTGCACCTTCTCCCCTGTTCGCTTGTCTTTTAACTTTTACTTTATTTATAAAATATTAGTCTCACATCACTCTCCATTTTTATTCTGCTTTGCTCTCTCTCTCTCTTCTTCTACTTCTTTTCTTTCAACCATGGCCTCATCTCCAATCCAAGAAGGTAACGTTGTTGACTCTTGGTTGACCATATAATTTTCATCATCCTTTGTCTTTCTTTTTTTAAAAAATAAAGGTTGTTCTTTAGCTTTAAAGTTCACCTTTTAATTCTGGGTATTGATTGTTTCTTCAAAACACTTACTGGTTCTTTAAGAAATACGAAATCAACTTAATTCAGCTGGAATAAGGTTTTTTTTAATTCTTAATTTTTTAATTGAATTTAGCTTAATTTTACTGTCTAAAGAATATTGAATTTTATGGAGCTTAGAGAATTTAGTGTGAGCCATCATATTTATATCTTCATCTATCTTAATGAAATTAGAAAAAAAATAGATGAGTTGTTAAGGTGAAGCAATGGAAGACGGCATCATTTTTTGTGATCGATCGATTGATTGGAGCTGAGAAAAGAAACTTTTGTCTTGCTTTTTCGGTTGGTGGGGTTATTGTATCATTCTACGAAGGATTGTTGGAGAGAAAGAAAATTGTGATTAGTTGCACGATTATTTTGATTAACTGATTGATTGTTTAGGTGGAGGAGGGATTTGGAGAAAGGACTTGTGACTCACAGTTGAGTGAGAATTCCTCATGGAAGCTTCACCCACACCATCAATCCATAGCAACACCACAGCCCTGATCCTGTCGAATTCTAGCAAGCGTATTGATAGGATGAGCAGTAGCCTCACCAGTTCCAGTTCCTGTATCACGGAACATTCAGCAACACCATCGCCCTCCTCTATTGCAACGGCACCAGCTCTGGTCCTATGCAATTCTGCCAAGCGTATTGACAGGATGTCCAGTAGCCTCACCAGTTCCAGTTCTTGTACTGCAGAAACACCGTCACCATCCTCTATGGCAACAGCCCCAGCTCTGGTCCTGTCGAATTCTGGCAAGCGGATTGATCAAGCAGGCAAAAAGAAATATGTGAAACAGGTAACAGGACGCCATAATGACACTGAGCTGCACTTGGCAGCACAGCGTGGTGATCTGGCGGCTGTAAAGCAGATTCTTGCTGACATTGATTCACAGATGATGAAGACTGCAAGTGGGGAAGATTTTGATTTGGAAGTCTCAGAGATACAGGCAAGTGTGGTAAATGAGGTGAATGAGTTGGGAGAGACAGCCTTGTTTAGTGCTGCAGAGAAAGGGCATCTTGATGTTGTCAAGGAGTTGTTAAAATTCTCAAATAAAGAGACAGTTACGCAGAAAACTAAAGCTGGGTTTGATCCCTTGCATATTGCTGCGAGCCAAGGGCACTATGGTAATAATCTTGGCTTTTGGTTATATGATTTTGCTTGTGGTGTTATTTGATTGGATTGGTTGGTTGAGTTCTTTAATTGTACGTGGCAGCTCTGATATGAGTTCTTGCAAAGAAGACGTTAAGTAAAAGTACTAGTTCAAGTGGGTTTCAAAGACTGTTGAATAACTTTGATAATTAAACCATGTTTGATAGCTTGGGAAATGTAGGAAGAAGGGAGGAGGAAGTTTAGAACCAAAAGAAATGAACTACTTTTACTTCACTGCCTATGATTAATTTCATCTACAATGTATGTCATAGGAAATTCAATTCCTTTAAGGTAGTTTTTTTTTAATAAGTAATAAAAAAAAGTTTAAGATCATTTGGAAACGGAAGCTGTTAAAAGCAAAGGACAACAAATGTCCTCCTGAACCATTGTTTGTTCTTATATGAGAAGTGCTGGCCTACGGTACTTTGGAACAATATAATTTCAATATAACAGCAATATTATCGATTATGAACCTGCTTGCAAAATGTTTAGGGCATAAAAGTTGCGCCTTAGTATTTAACTCCCTCTGGACAGTCTACCACCTTTCACTGTGCTTGTTATTGTGACATTTATTTTATATACTATAAAGATCTTGTCAGGACATTTTCCTCTTTCAACTGTCGGGACAATCCTTGATCATATTGTTCTTGTATAACATGGATTATAGCTGGTGAAGGATTAAGTTCCTTAGTTATTGGTTTGCATTTGTACAGGCTACCAGTTGTGAAATTTATGGTCCTATTTCAATTGTGTTCTATAGATACTAAGCTGGAACAGTCACACTGGTTCTTTCCTTGCAGCTATTGTCCAAGTACTGCTAGATCATGACCCTGGTCTATGCCAAACGTTTGGGCCATCAAATGCAACCCCTCTTATCTCTGCAGCTACCAAAGGGCATACTGAAGTAGTTAATGAGCTGTTGTCAAGGGATGGTAGCTTGCTAGAGAGTACCAGATCAAATGGGAAAAATGCACTGCATCTAGCTGCTCGACAGGGGCATGTAGATATTGTAAAAGCTTTGCTCAGCAAAGATCCACAGTTGGCAAGAAGAACTGACAAGAAAGGGCAGACTGCATTGCACATGGCTGTAAAAGGACAGAACTGTGAGGTGGTGAAGTTACTTCTTGAGGCAGATGCTGCTATTGTAATGCTTCCAGACAAGTTTGGTAACACAGCATTACATGTAGCCACAAGGAAAAAGAGAGCAGAGGTATAACTATTTGCTCACTTCCTTTTCATTTCTCGCTTTGGATGTAGAAGTATGTCTCATTGATGCTGCATACTTTTTTATAGTTATACATCCTCTGAAAATGTCAATATTTTACCATCATTTAAGTGGTCAGTGGCATATTATTTAGCAACTCAAGTTTATTTTCGTCACTTTTGCACAGCAGTAGCATCCTTGAAAGAGTTTGAGTAACATGTATGGCATATCAAAAAGGCAAGGTTGAATGGAGAGAGATAGATGAGGTTGTCATGTATATATCTATTCAACTGAATATTTCAGTTCTAAACATCTATTTATTTAGTAAATGGTTTATGTAAGGCTTGTTTTGATACTAATTTAGATTACTGTGAATAGTAGACTGTCATGAGTCCCGACTTTATGATGCTTTAGTTTAAGCTTTCTATATTATATCGCTCCTCCTTATGTATCTGTCTACACATTATACGGTGAGTTTATTTTTATTTTCACATGTACCGCCAATCTCCTGTATTTAGTGACTTTCCTTACAATTTTTACTATACAGTTTCATATTATTGAATCTTCCCATTTCCTTGCAGATAGTAAACGAGTTGTTGTCCCTTCCTGACTCAAATGTTAATGCACTTAACAGAGACCATAAAACGGCCCTTGACATAGCTGAGGGGCTTCCTCTCTCTGCAGAATCCTCAGATATAAAGAGCTGCCTTTCTCGCTATGGTGCCCTCAGAGCTAACGAACTGAATCAGCCAAGAGATGAGTTGAGGCAGACAGTGACCCAAATTAAGAAAGATGTCCATACCCAGCTTGAACAAACCAAAAGAACCAACAAAAATGTGCATAATATTTCAAAGGAACTGAGGAAACTCCATCGAGAAGGAATCAACAATGCCACCAATTCAGTAACTGTGGTGGCTGTTCTATTTGCAACTGTTGCGTTTGCAGCTATATTTACTGTGCCTGGAGGAGATGAAGATAGTGGAGTTGCTGTGGTTGTACACTCCCCTTCTTTCAAAATCTTCTTCATCTTCAATGCCATTGCTCTCTTCACTTCTTTGGCTGTTGTGGTTGTTCAAATTACATTGGTTAGAGGTGAAACGAAAGCAGAGAAACAGGTAGTGGAAGTGATTAACAAATTGATGTGGTTGGCATCTGTCTGTACTTCAGTTGCTTTTATGGCCTCCTCTTATATAGTGGTTGGCCGGAGACATAAGTGGGCTGCAATTTTGGTTACAGTTGTAGGGGGTCTGATAATGGCTGGGGTTCTTGGCACCATGACTTACTATGTGGTGAAATCCAAGAGGACTAGAAGGAAGAGGGGAAAGAATTCAAGGAGGAGTGGATCCAACTCTTGGCATCATTCTGACTTAACTAATTCAGAAGTAGAAGTTGATAGAATTTATGCCCTCTAATGTGTGAATCTATAGCTTCCGAAAAAAGGGAAGGAAGATGAATGTTAGGAGTTACAAAAACGGAGTCCCATTATGCCAATTGGAATTAAATTAGAATAATACCTTTTTGTCCTGTCTGGTAGTTGGGGACATACACACCCTGCCTTTCATTACCATGGCTTGCAAGGTATGAGCAATTTGAACTACTAATTTGAGGAAGGCTTTTTAGCTAAGAAGGAAGGAAGAGTGAGGAATATGGCAATTTGTTGTGGTATGTCCTATGGGTTTGTTGATTCAGTATATTAGTAGAGCAAAAGGCATGGATTTTGGTTCATAAGCTGATGGCCATGTTACCAAAGGGCAGTGCTTTGATCAGGCTTCTTATTCTTTTCATGCAAGAAATGGAAAAGTCATGCTTTCCTGGAGCGAATTCTCATAAAACGTTTTCAGTTTTCATCTGCTGATATTGCTCAGCCAGCTTTGTCCGAAAATCAGCCCGGTTAGATGGATTCAAACCGATCACATGTTTAAACTCCTTAGTAGTATCAACTCTATTAAAGGCCTAGCCTTGAAAAATGTATGAATGATTAACTTTTGCTGTGATTAAACTGTATTTGCTACAATACAAGCTTGCTGTACTCTCAATTAATGTTTCCAGAAATTGAACAGGGACTCTCAGAACTACCCTCTTCCAACACGTTTGTTGCTTTGGACTAGGACACTGGATTTTGGACTCTCCTGTGTAATTGTTTTCCAGTCAACATGTCCTATCACACTCCTAGTGATAGTCTTGAGGTTTTGGCATAAGTCTAGCTTGACTCCTGTGATTGTCTTCATGCAGGCCGCCTGGTGGGTAGGATTATCCAAGTAATGGAGCATTTTTTCCGGAATTTTCTTCTATTCTGATGAAGGGAAAGAATCTTGTGGGTAAGCCCCAACAATGGCTTCATTCATTGGATACAAGAAAGACACTGTTCCACGTGTCAAATGGCCTACACAGCAAACAACTTTTATCAGTTGAAAATGATTAGAAGAGAGAAATTTGTTGTTTAGCTGGAGAACATTGAATAATTAAGACATGCAAATAATTGCAAGAGAACCATTTGTCTTAACATAATTAAACGATAATTGTATGTATTTGTTAAAAATAATTAAAAAGACCCTTTTTTTCCACCAAAATTTAAAAGAAAATATACAGTTAAAAACTAAAAAGAGAATCTTTTGATTGAAGTTGGAGTGATCAAAATATTATATTGAATTTCCTTAAAGAGTGTAAATGAACCGAATCGAACCGAACCGAACCAATATTTAGTTATTAATAATAAAGTCATTTCTTCAAGGCCACAAAAGAAAAGGACTAATGTTTACCTAAGTATTGAACATGGAGAACCACGTATCCTGTTGGCTTGTAAGGAGGAAGACAGACTTTATTTATAGGAAAGACTTTCCACTTTATCATTAGTGACCACTTTGTGGCTACATAAAATTTTATTTTACAATTATAATTTTTAAAAAATTATAGCTGACTTTAATATATGTAATATCTAGTTTGTAATGATGTAAATATTAAATTATGTTTTAAATTTTATTAAAAGATATTAAAGTTTAAATATAATAACTTCAAAAGAGTTAAACGTGTTTTTATTTTAGTTATTTTCATTGAATTTATTCTTCAACTTTTTATCAAATTTGTTGGTAAACATAAAGCAAACCGAGTTTACCTAATATTCCAACTTGGTTTTCCAATCTTAAAATATTATTCCGACTCGTTCGATAAGTTTTATAAACAAATAGAAACGAATTTTAATCAAATTTATTCACAAATTAGTTTACCAAAGGTTGTAGTTCATATAACTGAATTGTGTTAAAAAAGAAGAGACCTGCCATTAATGCTTCACATTCACTTTGTTTCCTAAAATGCTCATGTGGTATTATCCCTTCAAAGCCAAGTCCAAGGAACATTAATTGAAGCAAAAAGATTAGATCGAACCCATTGTATGTGATTGAGTTCATGTTCACATATTTTTGGATAAGATCATTGTGTTAAGGCTAAGTATAGTGTAGAGAGAACAGGAAAGAAGCTTTCCCTCCATTAGGAGACAATTAAGTGACAAAGAAGATGTTCAATCAGCAATTAATGGGTTCATCTTCAAGTTGTTTGAAGCTATTTGGTCTAGGAGGAATCTTTATTTTAATACTCAAGTACTGGGAAAAAGGCCAATCAGGAGCAGTAACACTGTTTGCATATATTGAATTTCTTCATAGTTTTAGAGTTTTGTTCCTGCTATGATCTGACAGTTCGCACTTAGCACTTAAGCAATTGTTAATTGAAGGAGGGTGAAGCCATGACCGGATTTCATGGATTGGAATGGACACCACTTCATTCTCTGGTTTGTCACATAGCTTCTAGGGTGTTGTTAAAGGGTTACCTATTCCCATCAGGCCTTTATTATAGGATTTTGAAACATGGGAGCATAAGATGTCTTCCATTAATTACATAAATTCATGCTATATACCTTATTTTATGTTAAAAATATATGAGAATGGGCATAAAGAATTGATAAATACTCTTTCTCTAAACCTCAGTTTTTTAGCCTATGAATGGCTGACTAACACTCTATGAACAGTTAAATTTTTATGATTAGATGTTCTTTCCATTAATATCTGACTACCACTATCTATCACTTTTCAAGGTGTGGATTCATTTTGCACTTCGTATAACTTTTCAAACCAAGGACATTGTTTTTCCCTCAAGAGCTTTTCTTTCCTCTGAACAGTGCTTCCTCAAGGTTCAAGGTGAACTATTGCGGGTAAATATCATTGGGAAACAACTTTTTGAGAAACTTTAATTAACCAGGGCTTAGCTCTTACAGGTGCAAAGCTGTAGTGCTCTTCTCTGGCATCAAAAAAGAGACATACTTTACATGCTGAACCTATGAGATTAATTCTTAAGTATGAGATGAAATAACTTTATATCGATAACTATGTATCTTGCTTTACAATCTGACAGGCAAGATTTGTACTTGAGCTGATAGCTTACCCCATGTCCTAACTTATTATGCAATCTTTTAGACCTCTAGAAAATTAGTGACAGACAAACAAACCAATGTGATTAAGCATTGCAGCAAATGTACCATCCTGCCTTTCCTTTCTTTCTCCCAGACGTCCATGGAAGTTGGGTGGGAGAAGCTTTCTTGTTACATGCTTATCAAAGACCCCTTAGTGCTCAGCAACATCAAAGTAGCCTTTTTACTTGCTTTTCTTGGGCTCTAATCCTGTCAAAAGTCTGGCTGACATGTTCTCTTAGTTTAAGGTTTGGTAGACCCACTAAGGAAATGGGAAGAAGAGAAAAGCAGCCACCTCAAAGCCTGTTTGTCTGCACTTGAAGATTTTCACTCCCATATATTTTATTGTTAGATTGTCCTTCCTTTTCTCTAATTTGATGGGGTTGCATTGCAAGTTTACCAGAGTGTGTACATGGTGTTGATTCTAACTCTTTTCATATATTATATTGTTTTTTAGGCTCTAGAAGAAAAACATTATTCATTTAGATCAGGGAATTTCTTTTTCCTCATCAACATATTTAATGCAGGCAGGTGTCTCCTGATTGTTCCATAGAGGCAGACAGGTAGGTTTTGCAACCACAGTCATGATTAGTTCTGTTATCTTATGATTCGCTGGAACTGAAATAATATTTTAGCTTTGCCTAATTGATGATTACTTTGCAATATTATATACTTCAGGAACACCATGGCGGCTTGTAGAATTGATGGGAACTGAGATTTATCTACAATTAACAAGTAAGCAAATGGAAATGATGGCATTTTGAATGTGATTGTCAGAAGATTAATTTTCTGTTTCCTTTTTCTTGTCACAATTTGAAAATAAAGGTGAAAACTCTGGAACTTACATGGACAAACCTGTTAAATTCTATCTAGGATTCTGGTTACACCCTGAAATCCAGGACCCATGTTTTCTTCTTTATTATACTCTTTTTACTAAATAACCACTATGGAATTTGTCTGTTTATGGAAGCCTCATCATGGACAGAACCTTTCTACTAACTGAATGGTTGAAAAGACAGTAGAATTTCTCATTATGAACAGTTTGAATCCAAATCTGCACTACTTTTTATTGCATAGGTGAATAGAGCCTAAAATTTACATAGTATTACCAGATTCTGAAGTTGTACGGTGCATTGATGCTGTAGTTTTTTTTTTTTATAATTAGGGAAGAGGGATTCAAACTCTACTCTCTGTCTAGAGAGATAATGCGTTAATCAATAAATCAAATACTCCGGTGTATGCAGAAGTTGTTTGATAGGGCTGCATTATTTTGAAGCAAAAAAAGACAAATAAAATGATGTTATCTTGATTTATTATGATGTACCATATTCCTGTTTAATGATGTTTCAACATCATATCTGAGTTTTTGATCTAATTGAAACTTGGGATATCAAATCTTCAAAGTGAAACAAATACAGGCAAAGAGGACAGTTATCATTACTCGATCCTGATTGTTAATCTTGGGCAAGTTTGATATAGAAATGAGAGATATAAACTGAGATTGTTGAATTCTGTGGTACTTGCAATAAGTTGATGCAAAGAGATATGGTTATATTTGTTCATTTTGAGGAATTCACTTGATCATTGCAAGAAACTTGCATAGAACTTTATGGTCTTAACGGTTCAAGACAATTTTTCAGCCTTTTCAAATCTTGTTCTGATTCAAAGCATAGCCCCTATCAAAATTATGAGATAGAAAGAAAAAGAGAAGGAAATAGATAAGCATCAGAAACAAAACTAATATTTATATCCTGTCTTGGAATTCTCTTTCTATCTGTCTCTCTCTCAGCCCCTGCAAAGGTCTGGCCTCTCTTTGATCTTCGCAAACTGCAATACTTGAAGCTGACAATGAGTAGAACCCCACTTCACTGACAGTCTTTCTTGACCTCATCAACTGCTGCGACTGCTTGCAATGTGCAATTGCTCCCTGAATTGGATTCTCAATCTCTGCATTCACACTGCTGCTTCTTTTCAGAAACTGCAAATACTGAAAACCATTTGAGGCATTTGAGCTGCAAGATGAAGAAGAGCCAGATGATGATGAAGAGGATGAAGACTTGTTTGTTGAATGTCGTTTGATAGCCAGAGAAAACGATCTCCTATGGCGATTGGCGTTGTCCACTGTTATTTTTTCTTTGTCAGAACTCCTCATGCCAGCAGTTGAGGTTTGATACTTGTCGTGCTGGATTTGTCCAAATGGATTTTTCTTTGTTGCCTTCATGTCTTTATCCAATCTTTCATTTGCTTTTGAAACTGACCCTTCATCAGCAACTTTTGCAGCTGCACAGGACTCATCTGAGCAACCAGATTTACCAAACAAAGATTTGAGATAAGCCCTGGAAGCCTTCAGTTTTGAGCCGATGGAAGACTGCTTGATCAGCTTAAGCTTTTTGGTCCAAGACTTCTTCCGGTTTTCACCGATGAAGCCACTTACCTCTGTTGAGTAGTCAAAGAAATACTCTTCCGGATTCAGCTCCCTACTAACTCGACAGGACTCAGAAGGTGAGATATTGCAGGATTCAAATGGAGTGCTTGTTGTAGTTGGTGTTGTGACAGTAGTGGCTAATGGGGTGCTATAGAACTCTTCAAAGTTATCTTTTCTGTCTTCATAAACAGCATTTGAATTCTGCAGTAATTTTTTGACCATTTGTAGGCGTGGAGGGAGGTGAAGTGGAAGGAGCTTCCCTTTGTAAAAGAGCTCATCAGCTGGGGAAGTTGTGGGCTCTCTTTCCATAGAGACTGAAGACATTTGGAACTCAAACTCTCTTGGGCGCGGAGGAGAGTTTATGGACTGGCAAAAGAAGTTGGAGTATGAGCTGACTTCCATGTCAATGTATTCATCATCTTCAAGGTCATTTGATAGGAGTCTTACTGCCATTTTCCAGGTATTCAATGTTATTCTTATGGTAGACTCTCTCTCTCTCTCTCTCTCTCTCTGTGTGTGTAATCTTCGGTTTAGTGGGGAGCTGACCTTTGATAGAAGAGGGAGTGGAGTGCACTCTTTAAATTGTTGATGCTGCCAAGTTATAGCAACAAATAGCTGTGGGGTATTTCTTCTGAATGTTTGAAAATCTTTCATATGCTTCCAAATATAAAATTCAAAACATTATGGAAGTTCTTCCAATGGGCCATCCCCTTACTGATGTCTCTTCTTTTTCTTTCTTTCTTGAACTTAATATTTTGGTGGCTAATTCCTCACTGCTTTTCCATTAAAATAAACAGAAAAACCTAACACATTGATGGAATCCCTTCTTTTGATACTTTATATTCAGAACACAATAACAATCATTCATGATCTCCAGTCTAAATTGTTAGTGTTATCATCTTTTTATCATGGTGGCTCAGGTTACTTGTAAAGCACTGTAGCTTACATCATTAAGACTTAATTATTTGTTGGGACCATGAAAAAGCAGGTTTTCATTATCCTTAATCATCACAGAAGGTAAAACTATGATTAATATCCTGAAACAATATTCTTAGTCTGATGATCTGCTATCAGTATTTAGATCTGATCGTTCTGATTACTTCATATGTGCTTTCATGTGTATGCAGAACTCATATCAATGAATACACCACCACCAATTTTGTTCTGATATGATGCAGACGAACTGGATAAAATATTTTGATGTGCGTCATGAAATATCTCACTGGGAAGTCAGTCCACATCCTGGTAACATTTTCTCTAAAACAATTAGATATTTCTGGGATCTCTTTAGCCAAGTTTCAAATTTGAAAGCAGCCCACATTTCGAAACCTGGTTTCCAGGCATTCTATCATCACCAGGATATTTTTATTGAACAACTTCTGTCTGTATCCCTGCACCTGTAGCTGATAAAAACAAGGACCTAGAGTATAAATATAAGTACTTATCAAATAGCTAAAGAATCACTCTCCATTACTCGTTTTTTTTTTAACAAAACTTTTACTGGATTCCAGGGTTTGTTTTTCACTTTTCAATGACTGTTTCCTAGTATAAAAAATAACCCATAGATTCCCTTACGTGTGCATTCGAGTTCCTTTGATCTTTTCCATCTTCACCCTTTGTTCATACTTTATATATATTTGTTAATCTGTCTTCTTTTTAGTTGTTCTTTATTACTCTACAATGACATATAAAGGAGAGAGTTAAAGAAAAGAGAAGACAATGAAAAGAGAAGCATGAGTTGTGGACTTCAACTAAGAAAACAACACATGATCCGACCGTTGATGGTGGTGGTGGAATGAAGGGAGGAAAATGTGGATGAAATTCCTGTGAAGCTCGAGACTCCTTTTTGTTTTTTGCTTTGTCTTCTCTTTTAATACACTCCCCTCGTTTGAAGCTATAAATATTCTCTCTCTTTTTGGATTTTAATAACTATAACAAATAGCCCCAAAGGGATCCTCCCCTTTTCACCCAAATTGTAATATAAATCAGTTTTTGTTTAGAGTAGTTGTATTTATATTCATGATATTATGTAATTGAACTACTGTTTCTTGCCTTAATTAGGTAGTGTTTCTCAAGTCAAGCACTATCATGTGTAATGTTATGAATCATGGAGTGTTTACTCATTGGATTAAGAATAGGCCGGTACAAAACACGAGTGTAGCTTACCTCAGACATTATTCAAGTACAAAGTTGTCTATTATTTTTTGTTTTTTTTTTATTGCACAAGTGTAACGGTCCATATTCTTATTCCATAAGTGTTACAATTCATACCAACTTATAAAGTATTATCCGTTTTGACTTAGTGAACTTTAATGTTTTATCTCACAAAAGGAACTTCACATATTAAAGATTGTATGAACACTTAAATACTCAGTCATAGTTTAATACACACTTCAACAATAGCTCACTCTCTTCCATGGCAAATTGCTAATATCCAAAATTAGTTTTGATATCAAATGTTATGGTTAACGTCAACTTGTAAAGTATCATCTACTTTGACTAATTAATTTTCACAATTTTATCACACAAAAATATTTTATAAGTTAAAAATGTAAATGTTTAAATATCCTGATATGAGGTTCATAACTCTCTTTTTTAAGACTCTGACAGCAGGCATCTCCATGTTCGTGAACTTTGTTTCCCTCTCTTTTTCCTGCTTTTGCTGGATAAAGAAAACTGTGTTCCATTCAGGCAACAAGAAGGGTATTGCTATGTTGATATGGGACATAATTATAATGAACTCTCCTTGTTTAAGGCCTAGTGTCGTTGACAGGGCAGGGTCACAGAATAAAGTTACAGAAAGGAACCAAAACACACAAAGATAACAACAATTTTGAGTCCTTTTCATTTCGTAAAAATCAAAGCAAGATAACCAAACAACAGTGCCTGATGGATTTGGTCAGGTTGATTCTGATACTATAGCATGAGGAGTTCATTACAAGTATGAGAGTAAACTTTCAGGACTGTATTATTCTACATTGAGATGTAGCAGACCAAGGTAGCCAACATGGTTTCCTTTGAATGCCACCATAGAATTTTGAATTTGACAGTGAACTCCGCAGACATGGTGTGGTTCAGCTATGTGAAACAAACAATGAAAAAGTATAAGAGCGACGGATAGCCATAGATTTATTAGTCGGAATGACCCACCACCACCCAGAAAATCAGGATTGGAGGGTGCTCTCATTGGTTTAGGTATAGACAAGTAGAGCCTCTTCGAGCTCGACCGGAGGGACACCGTTGCCGGGTATCCCACCAGCACCAGCAAAAGCAGGAAAGCTCTGCAACAGCAACGACACGGTTGCTAGCCCAAAAAATAAAAGCCTTTTGGAAGAGATTTTGGGGTTGGAAAACTTTCATCCCACTAGCTTCTGTACCCTCGTGTTGAAAGCATTGGAGGCCCCTGCAAAATGATGGTGCCATTCTAAAGATAAGACAAATTCGAATTTCTATATCAGGAAACCTTTTCAATAAAGCCAATCTTCTTCTCGTGGGGTTCACCATTCACCACAGCCCTCTTGGTTCATCCATTGTTCTTCGACCAGGTCACTGGTCCTTCACAGCAATATATAATAATCATTTCCTTTTTTTGGGTAATGAATATCTTTATCGATCATGACAATATCTTACATGTTGGTATCATTTTCTCAGATTCGTGGTTAGTATAAATTGTGATAATTGAAATTAAAATCAACCGACTTTGATAGTCAAAAGCACACAATATGTTGCATGTTGAAGTAAGAGAGATTATCACAATTCAAAATCTTCAATTTGTACTATCATGATATATACTGATGTGATTAATCTCACTTTAAACTTAAATTAATGCATAACTGATGTGATTAATCTCACTTTAAAAGAGCATGACACTAATAAAGACTTAACCTATTGCATCAGCTCTACCCCAGCCCATCTCACCTTCAAGTTCTCAAGGCTTGAGAAATTATCGATTAACCCGTAAACTGTTAAGGATTCACAAAGGATACTGATTCATTCGTTTTATAAATCCCATATTACAGGTTGAAAGTATTTACAGATGAATGAACAAATCGAAACCCCATCCAACGTTACAGAAGTTACAACGAAAAAGCTTGTTTCTAAAATGCAGCTTTTTTGGCAGGTAGATATGGATACAATGTCATACTAGTACACATGCTTGTTTGACTGAGCATTATAGTTTCCACAAGGTTAAATTATCCGATCTATTTGCCTGATGCAGAATCACCAGATCTCAACTCCCTTTCAAGTTCATCAAACTCCCAATCACCTATTTCCTCTGCTGAGTAGTCTTGCCCAACCTTCCCAAACTCCGACTCCAGCTTTGCTAGTTCTGCTGCAGGGTCCAGCACGGGCAGTGTTTCAGGATTCTCCTTTGTATCAGGTTTGGGTTGTGTTGATTCCAGAGCTGGGCGTGGAGATAAAGTTTCCTGCGGCTTCTCATTAGGAGTATCAGCCTTTGGAATCTCCATTTCTAAAGTTGGCCTTTCAATAGCTTCAAATTCCGCTCTTAACTTTTCAATGTCATCAAATAGCTCTTTAACTTTGGGATCATCCTTCCTGGATAGGGGATGGGAAGATGGCCTTAAAAACCTCATTGACAGGGAACTGAAGAAAAGGCAAGGGATGGGAGTGCAAAATGAAAGGATAAATTTGCATGCAAAATGTATTTATCTCACCTTGAAATCGTCCCATGCTGAGCATAGAACTGCTCTTTCATGTTATCCACCACACTGAAGGTTGTTATAATCTGAAACAATGAACCAGTCAACAGAGGGCTCTACAGCCGAGCACCTTTGCACCAATTTTTTAAAGACCAATTAAGTTCGCTACAACTTCTAGGTTTATGAATCTCTTAATGATAAACTTTGGAATCAGAAAAGGTAGGGTTTAAAATGAAAAATGCTTTACTACAAGTGGAAAAAGAAAACTAAGGAATGGGCTTTAATTGCTGCAAAACCCTGCTAAATTAAAGAATAAGAGAAGGAAAAAAGGGAAGGAGGGAGAAACTCTGCATCAGCAGGGCCTAAGCTTTAGATGACAGCTACTCATGACTTGCTAAACTAAATATCTATGAATCAGCACCTTTTGAAGAATAAAAGTAAAAGACATTTTTACCTTGGCTTCATAATCCAAATATTCCTCCTCAAGATGTTTCCTCGGGTTTAATTCTGTGGATCCCTCATTGCTCGGGCTAAATGAAATCTCTGATCTGTCTTGTCAGGCAAAAGAAATAAGAAATTGCTATAAAATAAGTAATAATTATTTATACAAAAAGTACAGTACCTCTCACTCAACTTCTTCAGGTTCTCTACAAATTTCCCGATACGACTGATGGCAGGGCCCAGCTCTTTCTGCAAAAGAGCACAAGATTCCAATAAGAATATGTGATTAAGGTGAGACTTAATCATAACTTCTGTTCTCAAACTAAGTATTTCTTCTAACAGAATGTATTTAATACCTTGTACACTGAGAGAAGAGTAATGGCCAAGTTCACAAAATAATCCTCATGTTGCACCAATTCCTCGCTGGAAAATGCAAACAAGTAAACCACAAAGTCAACAAATCCAGTATTGTAAGTATTAAATTTATAGAATTAAGAGCAGAATTCATAAGATTTACTTTCTTCAACGCAGAGAATTGAAAAACATATTCAATAAAGGAGGATACTTAAAAACATAATTGTCCTGCTCAACAGAAGAAAAGAAATATTAGATTACATACTTGACTTTATTGGTCTTAGTTTCTGCATACGAGGACTGGAGAAGCCAAGTATCTTCCAAGAAATTAATCCATGTATGGATAACTTCTGCTTCTACTCTACACGCAGAAATGGATTTTGACAGTTCCTCTTCCTGTTAACAAATCACAAAGAATTCTCAGACATCTGAACCATAAGTTAGCCATAAAATTATCAAGATGTAGAAATATATAAACATTATAGCTTTATAAAATTTATATAGAAATTAGGAAAGACAGAATCCTCACCTTTGTTTTCAAATGGGCAACAATCTGATTGTTAGCTTCATCAAATTGATCTCTTTCTTCCCTAACATTGCGTAGACGTGCATTAGCAGCAGCCAATGAGATGTTAACCTACAACATATTACACAAAAATGGTAATGGGACAGAATCCACATTTGTAAACAAAAAGTCGTAAAAAGCAGATAGAACTTTCTATAGCATGAATACAAAGGAGGTTTACACCTAAAGGTTTCTCAAGCCGCATTATTTGCACAGTTATATGAGAAAGCTCCGCTACTCCATAATTGGAAAATAATATCCATTCCTTACTAATCAAGTGCAGAACATGAAACTTACAACAGAATTTAAGTAGTACAATGAAATAAAATATACATATAAATTATTCCTATATCTTCCATAGTAATCTGATTTACAAGCTAAGTAACTTTTAACCTCGCCACTCAGCGCACCCCCCCACCCACCCAAAAAAGAAAAGAAAAAACACGCAAAAGATCTGCTTCATTAAAGCATACAGTGACCACCAATAACAACCACAAATAAAAGAATACTGAACAAAAGAAACAAAAAATATAAAGTAAAAAGTAAAACAAAGGGAACAATATATAGGTAATCTAAATCAAACATGTATAAACTTTCCAACAGCTAAGAAACCGCAACTAGAAAGAGAGTGAAGTAGAAAGACCTTTTTCAGCTCTGCTTCAAGTTCATCTCTTTGTTTCTCAAGCTCTGAAATCTCAGCTACTATTTCCTGGATATTGTTCATTAGAAGAAAATTTCACATTGCCCATCCAAAACAAATAAAAACACCAAAACCTACATGCTGAATTGCACAGACCGCGCATCGCTTTCATTGTTTCCATGAAAAACTTGCATGTTTTATGAATGGTAACAAAAGCTCAGTCAAGATTTAAATAAATAAACCTTGAAGATTAATTCTCTATTTTGCAGTGTATGCATTTCTTTTGCTATAAATGCACACCCATTGGCCTTACTCCTTAGGCTACACAAGTAGAGGTAGCCTTCTTCCATCCCCTAAACCTCCATCCTAAAGATGCAAACCTAAGACCTCAAGTTGGAATCTCATGTTCTAACCATTAGTAATGTCTCCTAGGGACTTTTAAAACAGCATATGACACCATCTAATCAATACTATGTTACTGCTGTGCAGCACAATGATGCATGAAATCATGAAAAGAACCAAAACTATTCCTTCATATGCCAATTTCAGAGAAAATCATCCAGGAAATAATTTGATATGTTCAACACCAAAAATCCACCAATATCATCAACCAGTTCAAGACACTGAATATGCAGAAGATATAGGACTAGGAAGTATAGCAAAAATCTTCTGCAGCAGGCCTCACTAAACTAGTCATGATTTTGACAACGCATTTACTTATAGACAGTAAGAAAACACCTAGCTATCAGAGTTTGGAAACAACTTGTAGCAATCATATAACCTAAAATTGCTAGACTCTAAATTTTTCTTCTTTAATTTCGCATTGCAGACAAAGAGAACTTATCAGCACAAGTAAACAACCTTCTCTCTTCCATCAGCTTCACTTGCTTTGGACACACGAACAGTTAAGGCCTCCTCCTTCTGAAGTCTGCCAATAATAAAACCAATGACAAGTCTTACATAACAAATACCTTTTATATGTAAATATTTAGATTATTCTAATAAACTTCAGAATTAGTTATAAAGAGGCTTCAGATTGCTTTATATCTTGCTTTGATGCTCTGTCTTTAAGGATTTCATCCAGATATCCTCTGAACTACAAGTAGCAATATTCCAGACAGGCACCAAGCAATCACCAGAGACAGGTTAAGATATCTTGAAACCACTTTTGCCAATTAGCTTGGCAACCCAAGGCTAAACTTTTCATCATGAATGATAAACAAAAGCAACACGAAGGAAATTTTGGTGGAAGGTGCATACACAACTCATAAGAAATAAGAAGCACAAACCAAACAGTTCAGCATACATTTTTCAAGCAACCATGAATTATGGCCTTTGTACTTTCTCGGAAAATTCAAATAGGAGCTATATAAAAATGGTACTAGTGCTTTTTACAATTTAGCACCTAAATTAAATGACTGCAATTTTGCTTGTCATAAAACAGAAGTACTAATGCGATATATAAATGTTAAAAAAAAAAGCTGGTTAACACTGTCTGTGACCTTTAAAATAACACAATGTATCACATAAAAAAGCAGATGTTAATTTTTATCTAGAGTAACAGCTTTGATAAAACAAAAATGTTATTCAGAACAACTCTAAAAGATTCTTAGCATACCTGTGATCTGAAATGCGTTTCTCAGCTTTTGCACTGGAGTTGGCAAGAGACTCTGATAAGACCTTCAACTTATCAACCTGCTTAAATAAACAATATTATGCAATTAATTTCAAAATAAAGGCCCCAAGAAGTGCTGCATTCGCTAGAATGGACACTATCCTCTTTTTAAACATTTAGCTTGAATGAGAAAAAGGTGATATATACTAAATGAAACATTTAGATACGTGAAGCAAACTTTAACAAAAGCAGGATGAATATACATTATCATGCTTATTAAACATAACAAAGGAAACAATCAAATAGCAAGAAAAGTTCAAACCTTTTGAGCATGAATCTCAGGAGAGTCTCCATTGTTTAGAGACTTCTTCTTCAGCAAAATTCCTTCCAATGTGGAACAGATTCGTATTTGAGCAAGCGCTTCTTTCAGAGCCTACCATAAGGATAGGGTGGTCAACTGTCATAGTTTCTTTCTGGGAAAATTTTTTTGGAAGTTTAAAATCTTTTTGGGGGGGAAACATAGCCATGATAGACAAGTAGCTTGTGAATTTAAAAATGGGTAGATTCAGCAAATCAGACTTTTTTTCATTTTTCTTTGGGGAGGAGTAGGCCTTGTCAACTTGATTTCAAACTGTGGACAAGAGCCCCTCTAATTAGATAGCATAAAGAGGTAGATGGTTATCAACTAACAGCCAAGGAGGCTTCATGATGTGGTGACTGAAATACTTAAGCCTTTTCTCACTCTATTGTTTATGGCTCTTCAAGAACTTCAAATTTTGTTATCTTGAGTATCAGCCCTAAGCTGGTTTAACATTTTCTATATATGAATTTATCAAGATGCATCAAACTCGAGGTGCGTAATTCAGATGGACAAGACATTAGAATGAAAGACTTTTTGCAAAAGCAATTAGTCTCAAACAATAAATAAGAGATATGACACTGCACAAACGAAGTAGGAACTCGCATTTAACAGATTTGACACCCAGAAATAACAGGACAAGTGATAGAAAACGAACAAAAACAAGAGTAAAAGGAGAATAGTCTTGAAAATAACCCAAAAAAATATCTTTTGTGGTGAAGGAATACCCATATAATATTTTATTTCTGTAAGATCTCCCAGTTTTATATACTTCATTTTCAGCAGCTATGTCTAGGTGATAAGGTTTTATTTGATTGTGGCTTTTTAAAGGGTTATACACATGATCAACCACAAAGAAAAGGATATAATTAGCATCAAGCAATTGCAAGATAAAAGAGCAAACAAAATACATACATACATACATACATACATATATTATATATATATTATACGCACACACACACACACACGATATTCTTTTATCTCAGAGGTAACAACTTAACATGAATTCCAAAAATAGCTTTTGATGTTACACTAGATTTTTATACTCAATATATAACACACTATAGCATCTAAACTACCACAAAAAAGATAAGAGAATGTTACCATAACTCAAACCAAGCTCACTGCTCACCTCAATAGTCGCTGCAGTAGTCTTTTCAGATGCATTATCATGACCGTCTTTTGGCAGTTTCTGGGAAGCACTCAATTGATCAAGTTTTTTCTTTAGATCAGAAGCTTCAATATCCATTCTGTCATTTGAAGGCAGATCAAAGAAAAAAAAGATCAAAAGTATGATCAAAAGTAAAGTGTATTCAGGATATTAGGAGAGGTTAAGACTAATTTGAAGAGAAGAAAAATAAAATAAATGTATAATTATGAAAGAAAAAACCGTTTCGAGGCCAGAAACACACAACATTTCATCATTGTCACAAACATGAGCTGAGAACTCAAAGCCAAAGCACAGAAAACAAGACAGGACAGACTATAAACATTATAAAATGGGGCTAAAAGACAGGAAATGGAAGCTCTTTGTTCTTCAACAACCTTACAAGATCAGCATTGATTTTCAACCCGTTATGGCACCTTGTGCAAATTGAAGCAGCTCCTCCCGCTTCACCTGTATAATCCAACATATGAAAAGATTAGGGAAAAAAAAACGAAAAAAATGGAAATTAAAACGCGAATCTTTGTAAATAAACTGCATTGTGAATGTAGCACAGGTTTGATAGTTACCAGCACTTCATCTTGGTAGCTAGAAAAAGCAGTAGCTAGATCCTGTACACTGCTCACTATTGCATTGTGAACTTCTTTTCCTCCAGCGAGGCAGAGCCTGCAAGCATTATATATAATTACAGGAATTTTCCAATCCAATTTAAGTTTCAGGCTAAATATTGGTAATCATAAATTATTTTCTGGCTTCATCAAACAAAACCTACAACATGCAGAAACTGAAATCATTCCACAAGTATGTTAGAAGCGATTAATTAAAAAACCAGGCAAAACCTAAATGGTGGTCTTCCAGTCTATAATAAAGCAATAGTCATAAAGTGAGAGGACTTGCCCAAACATCTCCAGGAGCAGAGAAATTTCTTCATCATTTGGTGCTTCAAGAATCTGAATAATCAAAAATATTTAACCTGCGTTAACCTCCATGATCAGAAATTCCAAAAACATAAAAATTCATTAGAACCACTTAGTGGCATTTTTTTAAGAAACAAGAAGCTCTCACTGTCATAACATTAACTCATTAAGGTTAGCAAATAATGACAACAAGATCTCCAAATGCTGTCATGATAAGATAAAATTTCAGAAAAGTAGACATACATGAAGACATCCATGATACTCCAGCAGAAAAAGTAACAATATCTACAGCAACTTATATGTACTCAAATTAGATAAAACACAACAAACTCAGATCTTTCTAATAACCTTCTTAAGAAATAATTCTATCACCAAAAATTTCTACCTAACGATATTAATACCTAAATAATGGAACTATGACATGCTGTCATATTAAAGTCAGTAAATGTGAGTTATAAAGATTCTTATTTGTATCGTTTTATTAATTTCCTCACTGTCACTATCCCATTTTATATAGTCAAACCTAGGTTGTTAAAATAGCGCAAGGCGTAACTGTGAAGCAGACTCATAATTCAGCAACCTTGATAGGAATTCAATGATCTTGAACAATATTTAAAGAGTAATGCTCCACTTATTCCATCGCACTCTGGACCCTCTATCAATCAGTTATCAATAGGCAATGTCAAAACCAGGTTCCTGATAAAATGTTAATTTCTCTTTATTTAAATAATCTATCTTGATTGTTCATTTTATCATTTTTTGAGAGCAAGATTTATATACAGAATGATCACACCTGAAATGTTGACTTTTCTAAACCCTTTAATTGCCTAATCCTCTACAAAATTAGCGAAGGATGGCAAGAAACGTTCACAAAGGCATATGATATATTCAACATTCTAAACTAACTTGACAAATTCTGATCAAAAAGCAAATATGAAAAAATGACCAAGATACCATATCATACCATAGATATTGTGATGCCCTCTAAAGCCTGGCTTTGAAGAAAAACCTCTCGGAAATTCATTGGTGCGCCCCCAATATCAGAGTCATAATACAAGACCTATCCATCATTAAAATAAAAAATAAAAAACTAGAGTCAAGATACTAGAAACTCGTTTATGAGATGGAGTAACCTTTTAACACTTCAAGTTGTTTCAGAAAAAACAATCAACAGGATTAGTTTCAAGATCCAACAAACAACAATACACTTATAACAATAATATGTGGATATGCTGATAAGGGATCTTAACATATTTCTCCTAACTTAGGCAACCAATATATAATTTGATATCAGACTACTAGAAAAAAGTCGACCTACCTTATTCACTTACTAAGTGGACATTAACTAATTCATACAATTTACAACTCAATAAGTAAGAAAAGGCACGAATAAGTAACACAAAAGGAACTACATACAATTTGGTAATCATTACCATACAGGAATAGCTCACCATAGATTGTCTTTTTGGGTTCTCCTTTACTTCTTCAGAAGCAATAATTTGCTCAAGGCTCTTCTCACTGCCTTCAGATAACCCTCCAGATAACATCTCAATTTCTTTCAGTGCAACCAACCATCTTCTCAGCAGCATAACTCTCTCCGAACCCCTACAAGAGATTGCTGCTTCCTCCAATCTTTTTATGGTTTGCTTTACACTCTTGAGACTCCGAGACCCCTGCACAAATGCGCAACTTAAGCAAGTCCAATGGGAATATTATAAGAAACATACAACAGAAAAAAGAACTGCTAAAACTAAACAGAAGAAAAATTTTATTAATTCAAATTAAGAAGATGGAATGATAGCTGATTTTTATATGATAACTGACTAGATCATAAAGCTGTAATTTACTACTATTCTACATGTCACATTTTGACATTAGATCAAACTTTTCTCTTCCTAGCACCATTACTTGAAAGGAAAATCACCAAAGCCACTTAAAGTTACAAAAAGACACACTAATAGACCAATTTGTTAATTTTGAATAAATGCCTTTTTTTTTCTTTTTGCAATTATTACACACTTCATTATTCTCTAATTGAACAACCAAAAACACAAACAATTGAAAACCAAAATGAAAACACTAAAAGTTAACAATCATGAAATTAAAAGATAATAAAATAGTTTCTAAAATAAGGTACTAAAAAATTCCTAATAAAATTAAAAAAAATTGTCAGCATGCAATTTCAAACCTTTCAAACTAACTAACATTCAGCCTCAAATTCCAATCCAACCTATACACCTCAACATGCCAATAGGACAATTTTTAAATGTATATATATACGAGAAGAAAGAGAAAGAAATTACAATGCGATCCTGAAAGAGTTTGGCTCCTTCAGCGACAGCTTGACCAGCGTGATGAACAACGGTATCGGCATAGTTCTTGATGTTTCGAGTGAGGTTATTCTTGTTCCCAACCTCCACCGCTTTGTTCACCGCCGTTCTCAGCCACGACATGTCGTTCCTTTTTCTCCTGCCACCGCCCGATCGATCAATGCAATTATGTGAAATATATTTTCCCTTTTCTTTTCAGGAATTTTAGGGTTTTTGGAGGTCGCGGAAGAGAGACAAATGAGGAAAAATATTTTTTATTATTTTTGTTTGTATGATGAAGGGGAAGATGCAGAAGACGAAGTTCGGACGTGGACCTTTTTAGGGCGATGTGATGTCGTTTTGGACCACACAACCTACCGGTCTTGTCCTGCCTTCAATTCTCCGTTAGATATTTTTTGGCTTTATTTTTTCTCTTTGAAAATAATAAATACGTAAGATATTATTTTTTATTTTTTATCAATTTATCATTTTGGGAAAAGAGAATTGAGTCTAATTTTTATATAAATTTTTCAATTTTCATTGTGAAGAGTATAAATTTCGATATTATTTTTTTATACTCCATACAAAAGTAGATAAGAACTAAATTTAAAAATTATTCGTTTTCATTTTATACATGTCACACTTTTCTTTTCAAAATTCTAATTCAAAAAGAAAACATGCAAGTTAAATTTTTAATTTTTCGTTTTACAATGAATTATTGGAAATTTCATCCATTTTAAAAAAATTCTTGAATCAATATTGTTAATTTTCAAAAATTGTGTCAATTTATATTATATAATTAATTGATCCAAAATAATATTTTAAACACTATTTTGCATTCTTTTTTTTTTATCAATTTTGAGTTTTAGAAAAAGATGAGGAAATTTATTTTTTTGGAAAATTTTTAAAATTTCATTTTGAAAGACATAAATTTTGATATTATTTTTATATAAAAATTACAAATTCACGTTCTCAATTCAAAAGACATACTCAATTGATGGTGAAAGAATCATATTTATACTCTCAAGACTTATTTCATCTCTTTTTGATATAGGATGCGTGACATTTTATTAATGAGAGATCCATATTTCTATTCTCAAGATCTATCTCATTTTTTATTAATGTAAAATCCGTAATACTCCTTATTAAAGTTTATACAAATTAAATAAAAAAAATTATTCTTTTCCATTTTATATATTTCACTCTTTCGATTCAAAAATAAAAGAAAACATGCAAGTTAAAATTTTTACCGTTTGTTTTTCTATGAATATTTGAAATTTTCATCCATTTTAAGGAAATTCATTAACCATATTGTTTCTCTTCGAGAATATTATATAATTAATTGATCCTAATTAATATATTGAACACCATTCTGCATTTTATTTTATCAATCAAAATAAAAGAAAATTGAAATAAAAAATTCATAAAATTTGTAAAATTGAGCTTTTATTGAAGCCCAACCCAATTTAATAAAATTGGTCTAGATTTCTAATCCCAAATTAAAAATAAGGCCCGTTTAGATAGCTATAAAAGCCCAGAAGCTGGTTTCAGTAAATATTGGGCCAAGATCCAATTAAGAATGTGGATTCCTCTAATCTAATCATGAAGTTGGGCTCGAGCTTACTTTTTGCTTTTTTTCTTTCATTTTCGAGTATTTATTTTGTCTTGAAATAATGCACGAAAAAGATGTCAAACTATTTGAAAATTTTAAATGAACATTTATTTTTTTATTATGTTTAATTAAGTTCGTATATTTATATTTTAAATCAAATAAGTTTTTATAATTAATAATTGACTAATCGTCATTAATTAAAATATCAATTAACATTTTATGTCTATATAATGCTTATATGACGTTAATATAAAAAAGTGAAAATGTCATATAGTTGTACATATCAACATGCTACATTTACATGATATATCATCATCAATTATATGAATAGTGCTTCTATATTACACATTTATAACCAAATGCCATTACTATGATGCTCAAAATACAAATTTCTCATATTCTATTGAGTAGTAATAATCACAATAACAATTATCAATTTCTATACACTTGTATCCAAGATAATGCAACAATTGCGTTTATAGTTCAAGGTTTTCAAAGTTGTCTAAAGGTAAGATTGAAATGACCAAAAGCCCCATTTTCGTCAAAAGAGCCTAAGGCATCAAGTTCAGAATGATAGATGGCACCCCATGAAAACACCATTCGAGACTCACCACCAAATATGAATACATTTTCATTTTCATTTCCATTATTATCAATTATAACTTGTCAACATATCATGTTATCATCAATTATGACATGTCAATATGACACGTTAGTATCATATGATATAAAAGGATAAATAATATTTTGATTAAACCAACTATTAATCATACCTAAAATAAAAGCATAAAGCTTATTTAGTTCAAAATAAAAATATAAGATTTTGATTGAATGTAATAAAAGAATAAAAACTCATTTAAAATTGAAATTCCCAAAAAAAATTTTAAAGGGCTTTTCAAATTTGAAACATCTTTTTAGAAGTATAATTAGATTCACCGTCAATTATTTATCTTTATTCTTCTATTGCGTGTAATCAATTCTTTATATTTTTATTTTAGATTAAATAAATTTTTATAATTAACAATTAACTAGTTATTATTAATTAAAATATCACTAGTTATTTATATTATTATGATGTGATATGTCGATATGTTACACAATATATTGATATAACATGATAACATAATCATACTTCTTTTCTGTTCCTTTTCTTTTTCTCTTATCAAAGACAATACAGAGGTAGTTGATGAAATTTAGCCATTAATTTTCTTTTTGTAGGGACCTCCCATTACCTAAACAAGAAAGAAAAATGACCATTGAATATCAGACATTACATTGGACTAGTAACAAAAATACGTATTATATAAATTTTAAATGAAATTAATTACCTTCAATGTCATAATATATGGTCGGACCATATTGACACCGAAAATATATTTTCATTCAAAGTCCAAACAAATTCTTCCTTAAATGGGCAGCAAATACCTAACATGAAGATTATCGAAAGAGGAGCTTTGTTAACAAGACAACTAACATATTAAGTAATATTATGTTTAATATATTGAAATTCATCACATAACTGTTTATTATTGTATTTAATGTAAAAATATTACTATAAAATAAAAAATTAGCTAAGCATGTCAATGGGCAGGATAATTTTACTTGAATATGTGATAAGTAATAATTTTACTATTTGAATTCTATTATCATATACACAAATCTTATTTAATCATATTGAATAATGTAAAGTTGTAAATTTATTTCGAAATTTTTCCCAAAACTTGGGATTTGAGAAATTTGTTCCAAGGTTTTAGGCTTTTAGCTTCTTATGTACCAACTATTGACTTTTGTCATTTTTAAAATTAGTTTTTCTATATTGTTATTGACTTTTGCAAAAATTGGACTTGAAAACTTCAAACTTTGAAAGAGTGTCATTCTTAATTGGGGGTAGCTACATATATAAACTTTCATTAGAAGCAAGATTTAATTCCCTTTTTGTTAATAAAATATTATAATTTCAAATTTATATTTATTTGCTTTTTAGTTGTTAAAAGTTACCAAAAATGAAAAAAAACAAAGATTTAATTTGCAAAATGTGCATAGGTAAGGAGCAAATCTGATAGCATCCGAATATTTAACTCATTGATTGAAATATGATTTCCTTACTTAAAGAGTAAGGTTTAAATTTCCCTTTCTCCAAGTTCCAAAAAAAAAAATCAGATATTATAAAATAACAAAATAAATTAAAGATTTTATTAACAAATATCTTAAATGTATTTTTTATGATTATTTGAATAAATAAATATTTTTTAATAATATTAAATTTGTTACACTAATTATCAATTATGGTATTTAATACAAAAATATTATTATTAATAATATTTTTATTTAGTTTAATCTTAAAAAGTGCCTTTAAAACACTCCTCATGACTAGATTTTGTTTCCTACCTCTGTTACACCTAATCTTCCTCGTTTGCTTGCACGTGATCTCCAAGGTAAGTCACGTGCCCGTATCTACCACTACCAGACTCAGGTAATCCACTACCGACCTTTCTTTTTCCCAGTAGCCACACACCTACCACGTTCCCTCCACTATACTATAAAACTCACCGATTCATTCCTATTTCCCTACCGGAGAAGAAGAAGAAAGAGAAGTGTCTATTCAACTGTCGCAAAATGTCTACGTCACCGTGCGTCGCCGGAATCCAGGTGGAGAACGTTACTTTCCCTCCAAATGTCAAGCCCCCGGGTTCCACCAAAACTCTGTTCCTCGGTGGCGCAGGTTAGTAATCTGCGCATCGTTTCTCGCATTTTTTCTGAAATCCGTTCGAATTCGACTGCTTTGTCTCTTTTTTTTTAAGTTTTTGTTAATGGCTAGTGCTAACATGCGCCAGGGGAGAGAGGATTGGAAATCCAAGGAAAGTTCGTTAAATTCACAGCGATCGGAGTTTACTTGGAAGATATCGCTGTGGAGTCCCTCGCAGTTAAGTGGAAGGGTAAGAGTGCCGAGGTGTTAACGGAATCCGTTGAGTTTTTCAGGGACATCGTTACAGGTAATTTAAGGTTCTTTTTTTTTTAAAATGTATTTTCCTTTCTTTCCAATTTTTAAAGAACCAAACAGAGCCTAACTATTTCATACGTATTAATTTTATGGTAATTTTCCAATCACTGGGGCATGATTTCCAATCATTGGGAGTATTATGGTAATTTAATGGCTTGATCGCTGTGATCTATTGCATTTGTCTTGAACCATTTTCTGGGGAAAAAAATCTTGGTATTTATTGTAGCTGAATTTCATTATTTTAAGTCATAATATTTTGGATTATAATAGATTTGGATTTCATATTTTGATTATTTTAGTTTCGAGTGATATTGAAGTTCGGATTATTTTAGCTTTCAATCAAGTTTTGGTTTCGATTATTTTGGATTTTTCAATCAATTTGATTGGTTTAAATTACTGATTTTTCTAAAACATAATATTTTAAAAATCGTCTAAACTATTCAAAAAAATTTATTTTTTTATTACGTTTCATATATTTTTGTATGAATCAAATTAATGGGCTTTTATAATTAGTTTGTGCGTTACTTGTTATTTTATGCCTATGTAGTGTTGATACAAGGTTGATTTGCATAATGAAAATTACAGAGTGATCATTTTATCATATCATATTATTTTTTATTATGATATGTTAACACCATGTGATATTGATTAAGAATAATTAATTAATTTTTAATCATAAAAACTTAATTAAATATGATAGAAATATAATAATTTATTTAAATTTATCTGAATAATTCAGTAATTTTTTAGATATATTAACCGCAAGTCATGTCAAATTTATATATTTTTATAATAATTTATGTGATGGTACAATTTATTATTTATTATTTATAATCAAATTAACATTGACATATTGGTTAACATTCATAGGTGCCTTCGAGAAGTTCATACGGGTGACAACAATCCTGCCATTAACGGGTCAGCAATACTCTGAAAAAGTGTCAGAGAATTGTGTTGCCATTTGGAAATCTCTTGGACTTTACACTGACGCAGAAGCAAAAGCCATTGAAAAGTTCCTTGAGGTCTTCAGGGATGAAAACTTCCCACCTGGCTCCTCCATTCTTTTCACGCTATCAGCCCATGGTTCATTAACAGTAAGATGCAAAACCCTTTCAAAAGATTGAAACTGTCATTTGGTTTTGATTTGTTAGTAATTAATTTTGATTGAGAATATGTGAATTGCCATAAGATAGATCATAACTTTGGTCCCATTCCATCGTCTGAAACAACAGATCAGCTTTTCCAAAGATAGTTCTGTGCCACAAGTTGGGACAGCAGTGATCGAGAATAAACTACTTGCAAATGCAGTGCTGGAGTCTATCGTTGGCAAGGATGGCGTTTCTCCTGTAGCAAGGAAAAGCATGGCATCAAGATTATCAGCATTGTTCGATGACTCTGTTGAGAAGGCTGCCCAGAACGGGAAACCGGAGTGTCAGTAGTTCCCTGTCTCTCAGAGCAGCTGATATGTAATTTCTTCTTCAACCGTGTGTGTGCTTAGAAAATAAAATAGATTTATAACATAGAGAGTCAAATATTCCACGAATCATCTGGGGTATCTCTGTTTGGAGGAAATGATTCCAGATGTGACAAATAACAAAAGTTTATGTATTTTTCACAGCTGGAGTTGGACCAAATTTGAGTTTTCACATTTTGTATGTGATTAACTTTATTGGCCATATTTCTATTTGTCAATTGCCATGATATGGTTAGATTTAAAACTGAATTAGAGTATGCCATGCGATGCAATCCTGTAATATAAGCAAAATAATGTTTATTGAAATATACAAATATTTTAATAATTATACGGTGATCACTGTACATAAACATTTATAAAGTTATTTAGAAAAAGTCAAAAGTTATTCAATTATTTAAGCGGTAAGTAATCTATTTAAGAAAGTTGTATAATTGTTTAAGTGGTAATTTAGTCATATGGTTATGAACAGAAGTGTACAAAGAAGGATGTTGCAGCTAGGAATGGGGTCTCTCAAGTTTTTCTTTCAGAAAGCAACCTGAGTAGACGGAATTATATTGGGTTGAAAATGTCTTATATTTAATTTTGTATTTTTTGATTGGTGATTCTTTTCCATGACTGGTTGTTGTTGGCTTTGAGGTGTTGAGTCTAGAAACAGCTCTCTCGGAGTCATCAAATATGATCTGAAGCGGTGTGACGTGAATTGTTGCAGTAGCACATGAAGGGAGATAATGTTGGTCTCAACTTTGATTGCAATCAAAGAGTTTAAATTTGATAACCAAAGGCTACAAACTCCATTTGGCCAGTATCATCTTGAATAATGGTTTGTATGCAATATCTAAAATACCATGAATAGCAGTTGTGTGCATATATTATCATAATGTAGTAACTATATATCTAATGAATTAAAAGAAGGAAAAAGAAATTTATCTTTAACGTGCGTGCATAAACTAAGGTATAGTAAGGAATTGATGCATATATATATAATAGCGAGTGAAATTTGTAATTAAAATATATATTAAACTTTTACTTTATAGTAAAATATTTTTGCAAATGCCATTTCTAATCTGTTTCAAATATAGATAATTAAGTTTGAAAAAAGTTTAGATTAAGGTCAATTAAAGGTTTTTATGTTGTATTAATTTTGTTTATGATATAAAGAAATCAAATCTACTAAGCGTGATTTGGTGAATCAATGCAAATAGTAAGTAAAATCATGGCTCGATCAAACTGAAAAAGAAAAACCCAAACAATAGATTGGATGATAGCACCATCGAAATATGAACAATCGAAAAAAATGCAAACCCAACACCAACATAATAAAAGGAGTGAAGAAGAAAAGAATGTACAAAAAAATGAAAAAGAAAAACAAACCAACTGCAAATAAAGTCATAAAAACCATGACAATCAAAAAAATGGATAAGCCAAAAAAAAAAAAAGTAAGCAAATAACATTAAAACCAACAAAAACCAAAAACATCAACTGCAAAAGGCGTAAAATCGAGAACAAAACCAATAATAGAATAACAACAAAAGAAAACAAAGAAAAAGATATGACATAATTTTTTGATAACAGGCAGAACAAAAAACATTACATGCACAACTTAAAAACTTAAAAACAAATGCATCAATTGAGAGGATATAAACAAAAACTACAGAAAAATAAATAAAAGAAAAAATTGAACCTAGAAAATATAGTGAAATAGAAGCCGAACATAGGAAAAAAAATCAAACCATGAGCACATGAAAGGGAAAAATCGAAAGCAAAATACAACTTAAAAAATTAAAACATAAAGCAAATTAACATAGTCAAATCAAAGTAACCCAAAAACCACGGATCAAAACAAAAGAAAAAATGAAAATCACAAATCAAAGAAAGGTTCATACAACAACGAAACTGAAATGCAAAAAACAAAAAAAAAAGAGAAAAAACTATAAATTAAAAATCAAAATAAAAAAAAGAAACCAATAAGAGCAATGGTTGAACAAATCAAAGACTAAACAAAACAAAGAAAAAAAAACACCAAAACAAACAAAAAAAGCCAAGAAAAAGTAAAAAATTGAAAATAGCAGTAAAAAAAGAGGACAAAAAGATGAAAAAATCAGGAAAGTAAAAGAAGAGAAAGGGCAGAGAAACTTAGGGTTGAAGCCAAAGAATGGAGAAAGCAAAAGAAGAGAGGAGAAACCTAAGAAAGGGAAAAATGACCAAAAAGCCATGCCCATTTCAACAACAAAAAAAAAAAAAATCCATAGAGGATTCGATTGAATGACATGGCCACATGTTTCTCAATTAGGCCAACAGGTAGCAGCCAATTGACCCCTTCCTAGGGGAGAGAACGGCCGGTAGGAACCGCCCAACCGACCGCAACCGTTGGTTATTGTAACCGATGGTTACAACCGACGGTTGTTTTTGCAACCGTCGGTTGTGTCGATCGGTTTCGTCGGCTTATTGGCTCGGTCATCGGGGGGAATCCTTCCCCCCCCGAACCGACCGAAAAATCGAGCCATCGAAGTGACCCATGGGTCCCCGCCCGGCTGCCCGGCAGCAGCAGCCCTTCCCCGCCCCGCCCGGCCCCTAGTTATTGTCCCACGACTCCGGACTCCCAGTCTCCCGACCCCCCCCCTCGGCCCTCCCACGAACTCCCAGTCTCCGCCCGGCCCCCCTCCCACGGCTCCCAGGTCTCCGACACCCCCCCCTCGGCCTCCCACGAACTCCCAGTCTCCCGCCCGACCCCCTCCCACGGCTCCCAATCTCCCGACCCCCCTTCCCACGAACTCCCGATTCCCCCCGGCCCCCCTCCACGGCTCCCAGTCTCCCGACCCCCCTCCCACGAACTCCGAGTCCCCCCGGCCCCCCTCCACGACTCCCAGTCTCCCACGAGTCCCTTCCCGATTCTGCCCCCACTCAAGTCCAGAAATTTCCTCCCCCACTCAAGTCAATTTAAGTCAACCCATTAATTTCATCACAAAAAACCGACCAAAACGACCGAAACCGATACTCCAAAAAACCGACCGAAACCGATACTCCAAAAAACCGTTCGGTCGGTTATAACTCAAAAAATTGGTCGGTTTTTCGTCAAAACCGACCGAAAACCGACCGAACCGCCCGATGCACCACCCCTTACCCTTCCAACATAACTCAATAACAACTCTCAATCAAGTAAAAATAAGAACATCACGTGTCACCTCTAATTGCTCTTAATTGTCCCTTCTTCGGATAATTTTTAATTATAGTAGATTTTAAGGTTGGAGTAAGGGAGAAGGATGGCTCTAGTCAGCTTATTGGATGTACGTATGCATGTATGTATATATATATATACACACGTATGTATATCCTAGTCATGTATATCAATGAGATCAATAAAGTAT